TGTCAAGAATTTACCACAAAGGGAGTGGAAACAGGAGAAAAACAGGTATATATATTATCTTTCAGCAAAAAGAATTGTTCTATCTAGTAGGCCAACATTGTATTAAATATATACATTTATAATCACCAATCCAAAACTAATAATATAACATGTGCAGGTATAATTATAGGTGCCCGTAGTGGCAATTTGTCGATATATTCAACCTAAACAATAAACTTTTATATCTATTATCATCAGTCACATACACATTATATATATAATTATTTATTGACGAAAATTATTTATTTAAGAAGTAGGAATAAAAGTTGTAAATAAATTAAATGAAGATGGAATTTTGTGTGTGGGGTGGAAAAAACTTATTTATAAGGTTGTACTAAAAATGAAATGAAAATGATGTGAGTGTGGGGCAAGTGGTAGGGTGGGTGGTGGTTATAGCTTTCCATATAAAGAAAGGTTAATTGGGTCAAGTGGAGTGGTTTTTAATGCACTTTTTTCTATTTTCAGGCAAGCCCTCTTTATCTGCTGAGCTTTCATGGCTCTACACACAGCCTCATCAGCCCCATTTGTACTCCACTTCTATGTAATTACTATGTTCTGACTACTACCAGTTATGTAAGTTTCAATTTTTTTTTTTTTATTTGAATCCTTTTTTGTTGAAAATATTTTTACTAATTTATTTATATATTTTTACCACTCTTATTTTGAAGTACCACTCTTATTTTGAAGATTGATAGAAGAGATAAATCACAAATCACTATTATACTTGTATTTTTTGTTACTCCTCCCACTTAGAGTGTTGTAAGAAATAAATTGCACACCATGCAATTGCTGACAAGGTAAAATTTATATCTTATCTTATAAAATAAAATTAAAGAAAAATTCTATGATGTCAATATATACCCCTATTGAAAGTACTCGATACATGCAATAATAATTAAAGAATGTTAGCTAGGCTAGGTTCACCACTCCCTAACCTAATATTCTCACTGCAAGTGTTTTCCCTCATCCTCCATTGATGGACCGCCGCCTCCGCTCGTTTTGTGGAAGCAACGCCGACCTCCTCTCGTTTCTTCCCCTACTCCGACCGACTCTCAATCGCCTGTCCTTTGGCCTCTCCTCCGTTGTTGGCACCTCTTCCCGCCTCTCTTTCACCGCCACCATCTCCTCCGGCCCGACCCTCACCGACGTTTCTTCCTCATTCACCACCGTCCCTTACTATCTCCAACTCCAGATCCAAACTTCTTTATCTTTTTTCAGCGGTTCAATAAATTATATGACAGAAGAGCCACAATAGAGTCAGACTTGGGTAGCAAGATCATTAACAATATCAAAGAAGTTTCAGGTTCTTCAAATAAATTCAGTTTCAATTTTGAAAAACAGTCAAAGATTTAAGTTTTGTATAGCATTGAAAATTTATTTTAATGTCTGATTGTAAAAATGTTTTATCATTTAATCGATCTTATTGTAAACTTTACCTCGTATCATTAATGAATTATCTCTTTTATTTCAAAAATAATAATAATTTGATAATGGTTTTTAATAGTACTAGGTAAATAATGTATTGTATTGAATTAATTTCACTTTTGGTCCCACGACTTTTGATGTTCTATCACTTTTGGTGCACAACTTTAAAATTTTTTAATTTTGGTGCCTAACTTTGTTATTTTTATCAATTTTGGTCCTTTCGGCCAAATTGACTGTGAAATGTTGTTGGATTTTATATTGTTAGGGGTAAAATCTTAATCCCAAGGAAACATCTTCAATATCTAAACAAGATCACCGTAAAATCATATCTATAGGTGTTTGATGATGAGAATAATGGGGAAAATGGGCAGAAACCAGACAGATATATGGGATTTATAGTTTCGACCATTGGCAAACTCTTCTTTTCCTCTTAATATGATTTTTCTTTTGTTTAAATATTGAAGATCTTTCCATGGGATGACGATTTTGCCCCTAAAATATAAAATTTGGAAATATTTTACCGTCAATTTGGCTAGAAGGACCTAAACTGATAAAAATAACAAAGTTAGGCACCAAAATTGAAAAAATTCAAAGTTGTGCACCAAAAGTGATAAGAACTCAAAAGTCGTGGGACCAAAAGTGAAATTAATTCTATTGTATTGAGTACAATTAGAAACCCGGCCTTCCAATAATGTCTGCTACATTATAGCCTTATAGGATTGTACCGATTGGCGATTACTACTGAAAATTATTACCATGGGCCCCTCAATGTTCCTACCTTATAGTTTCTAAATATTTATATACTAGTACCCACAACAACTCAACAAACATTCTACAACGATTAGTTAAAAAAAAATAAAAAAATTATGAACTTATTTTGAATTAATTAACCAATTGAACTAGCCTCATTAGTTATTATTGTGCAGAATCTTGTAGTGTAGTTGCATATGTGATATGTATGAGGCTTTTTATAAAAAAGTTCGAGATAAATTTTACTTATATCTAAACCATAAAGTGATCGTAGAGTTTTGTTATGAACATTATTATGTAGATGATGGTCTACATAGCTGTGTGGACCATGGTCCACTATCTTTTTGAGTAAAGTTTATTATTTTATTTATTATCAAATAATGTACATTCAATAAATAAATAATGTATTTTTAGTATATTAAAATGTATTTTATATTCAGAAAAAGTATATTATTTGAGCACTTAAAGTATATTATTTTATAAATAATATACATTCAGTACACAAATAATGTACTTTTAATATATTAAAAATGATTTTTTTTTTATGATTTACACAGCACTGTATGGACCGTGGTACACATAATCCATTTAGATTTCTTAGCCCAAAAAGATTATATTGGCTTAGTATTTTGGTGGGTAAAAGCACAATTGGGCTCATGAAGAAATGGGCTTTGAGCTCGGGTAAAATGCAGCCCAATTGGTTTGGCAATAAATACCTGAGCGCTTCGACTCTGTTTGCGTACCTTTGTCGGGGAGAGAGAGAGAGCTCGACAGCGAGGGAGCAATGGCGGAAGTTCAGAGAAGAAGGCCGATGCAACCACCACCGCCCAGAGGCCCGCCTGGTCCTGTGCAGCCCAAGGCCGCCACCCGGTCCGAACCCGTCGATCGAGAGAAGGTTATCCTCCACATTTCTGTCTTTCCTTGTATATATATTCGCTAAGCATATGAATGCTACGGAGCAGTAGTTTTGTGTGTGTGAATCCGTGTGTTCGTATAGGCTATAAGGTCGTTTAGGTGTTACGTGTGTATTTACAAGTTGACTTGGGTTCTGGAGTATGATTATATATTTATATGGATTGTGGAGTCTCTAGGGTTTCGGCGTACTGTGAAATGTCAGAATTGCATGTGGTATCCAGTATATCTATTCAGTAGTTCTTGTTAGCTTATGGTGCCCAAAGGATGTTTCTTTAACTATATTCCTTTAATTTATGGCTGCTGTGAGAAGAAGATGAAAGAGGAAGATTGAAGTGTTTATATTAGTAAGGTACAAGGAAATTATTCACTTGCAGGGTTAGCCTAGGTTACATGTGATTGTAAATGTTGAGATGTTTACCAGTGTTGACTTTCTCTTTGTGGTTTCTATCGACTATTTTTCTCTTTACTCATTGCACTGTTTCTTTCTGTTTTTGCCTAATATGTTTAATGTATTAATGTTTGTTTATTGTTTATTTGGGGGATTCATCACTGCAGACATGCCCGCTGTTGCTTCGTGTTTTCACCAAGGTATGAACACCATAGAAATGTATCTCTTATCTTTTTATTTTAATTGAATCTACTTTTATTCTTCTGAATTTTGTACCACTACTATCTCACACATAGGCAACCATTTATCAATTTTCTTCCATTTTGCTCTGACTGTCTTTTGAATTCTTGATATAGTGACACATTGGAGATGACTAATTTCAATTATATGAATCAATAACCCAAAATTTTGATTTTGTCACTGCAAGTCTCTGCTTTTATGATCTTAAACTTCCTACGTTCTAAGTTCTTATCTTTTGATATGAGAGCAGAATAAGAACATAGTGCCTGCTTGTAGCACAGATGCAAGCTATTGCAATGTGCTATCATTCATTATATTCATCAGCAGTAGACCGATCTGAGTTCTTTAATTTCAATTCGCAGATTGGAGGTCATCACACTGAGAGTGATTTTGCTGTGAGAGGGAAGGAACCTAAAGATGAAGTTCAGATTTATACCTGGATGGATGCTAATCTACGTGAACTCACTGATCTGGTATGATGACACAACCCCCAGCAATCCAGCATACCTGAACTTGCAGTTGCTCTATTTTACCTTGGGAATTTTCCTTTGCGCTTGGATACATTCAATTACTACTATGCAATATTTATTTTCCCTAGACCCTAGTGGATATATGGGTTGATTGTACATCCTTTTTGTTCAGGTTAAAGAAGTGGCTCCTGAGGCACGAAAAAGAGATGCTATGCTGTCCTTTGCTTTTGTTTATCCCGATAAAAATGGCAAATTTGTAGTTAGAGAGGTCTCTCCATTTTACTTTCTATAAATGTGATGGGCTCCCATTACTTCAAATATTTAGTGTGTTTGTATCTTACAAGATCTTGTTTACAGGTAGGAAAAACATATTCTATTCCTAGTGGGAGACGACCAGATAGTGGCAACCAAACCTTGAGTGATCTGAAATTTGAGGTACAGTTTTGCTCTTCTAGATGCATGAATCAGAATCTGTTTTCCCATTTAACCATGCCTTTTCGACTTGTATTTGTTTGATCTGGCAGATAGGTGACTACTTGGATGTGGCAGTTTACTTTAACGATCTGATGCGGAAATGAAACCGTGCTATCACCTAGTTTATGTTATGTTGTTTTAGCTTTTCCAGAAGTGTGTCTTGCTAGCAGGCTTGGTTTTCCAAGTTCCTATATCCATATTTGACTCTGATTGTAAAATGTATTTTTGTGATGAAATAGTGAGACATTTCAATCCCTCTCAATGCATTGTGCTGAATTACTAGATATCCCAATAAAAAATTGATGCTTCTGTGAAGTTTTCATTATTTGAAACATGGTTGCAGTAAGCTGCCTGCTGGCAATACATAACAGAAGAAATGAATTGATAAAGGCTATGACAAACATTTATTCATGTAAAACAGGAGAAAGCAGGGGTTGATTGGAGAAGAAAGCCTCAAGATTCCCTACAGTAAGCTCATATACTTGTTTAAAGGATTCATGTGTGAGAACAGCAGAGTGTGAAGACAGGACAACACAATCCAATCCAAGAAGCTCTTCAGGAACATGAGGTTCATGTTCAAAAACATCCAATCCAGCACCTGCAATCTCTCCCTGCAACAAACACTGTACCAATTCCTTCTCATCGATTATCCCTCCCCGCGCAATGTTAACAATCACTCCTTCCTTTCCCAAAGCCAGGAGAACCTGTTTGTTGATGAGGTGATGGGTTTCTTGTGTCAATGCACAGCAAATCACCAAGATATCAGACGCAGTTGCTAGTTCATGAACATCAGCATAGAAGCAGTAGGAGGTCCATGGCTTCTCCTTCCTCGAGTAGTATGAGATTGGGCAGCCAAAAGCCTCAAGCCTCTTTGCGACTTGCTGCCCTATGCTTCCCAGTCCTACAATCCCAACCCGCTTGCCTCCCACCTGCAATCACCATGAATGAATTAGCAGAGCAGAGCATTGATGATGGTAGAATTGAAGAACACTGTTCAACGTAGCTGTTTGAATTTTGAATTTCCAATCTCACTCTAGTGTTTATGATTGTGAAGATGACAAGTACCTTGGAAGCGAGAGGATAATGAGGTTTGATAGGCCAAGCCCTAGTTTTAACGAAACGGTGAGAGGCGGAGATTCTCCTGAGGACGTCGATGAGCAAGCCGACGGCGAGGTCCCCGACGTCAGCGGAGAAAATGTCGGCAGCGTTGGCGACGGCGATGCCTAAGCGGCGGCACTCTCGGAGGTCGATGTGGTCGAGGCCGGCGCTGGAGGTGACGACGAAGCGGAGGGAAGGCAGGTGTGTGAGGAGGGAGGCGGAGAGAGGTACAGAGGCGGAGCAGAACATAGCCTCGACCGTCTGTGCGTGGGCTGAGAGGAACTCTTCCAGCGGTAGCGGCGACTCCCAGGGCTTCAGAAGCCTGAACTTGTCGGCGAATTTGTGGCCGTATTCTTTGAACACCATTGGTGGACCAAGAACTATTATCTGCGGCAGCAGCTCAGGAGTAGTATTTCCTTGCGCCATGCTCCCTGCACACCCACCCACGGAATCAACGATAAATATTTAAAGAGTTAATACCATATGAGGTCCTCCAACTATACTAATTTTACCACGTAATTGACCATATATCAAATTTTAACTACCTATGGTCTTTTTAGGAGGACCACCGGAATGGTAACATTTTGAAAGTCGAAGAATGACTAAATGTGATAAAATTACCATACTTGGGAGAATCTCATATGACATAACTCAATATTTAAATACTCCGTTTCTTTAAAAAAAAAAAAAATACTCCGTTTCAATTACCCCTATACAATATTTCTGTTACTTTTCTTCGATATTTTATAAGACAAAGTTGAAACGGACTGTTTTGTTTACACTTGAATACTCTTATCTGAACATTCATTCATAATAATACAATAATTAGTACCAGCCTAATGCTTAATAAAGGTAACACATTCTATGACGAAACTCGTAAATTCTCACCATCTACATTCAATTACTGCAATGGGGATACTTTCATTTTGATCCCTGTCTGAGATTTGTTTCATGAGTTGTAAATGTAATCCATAGCGTAACAAAACTATCTATGGACAACGTACTACGTAATTTCACAACACAAAAACATAAACAGCAAAGATTGAATGCATTATCCAAAGTGAGTATCTTCCAAGCTTTACAGCTATATATCGATGTTTCGGATAATAATAATAATAATAATATAGCCAAAAAAAAAAAAAAAAAACCCTAAATACATTACCAAAAGCAGCAGGAAACTAGAGAGTTATTTACAACACAACCCATTTCTGATCAGCTTGCAACATAGGGTTCAAAGAGTGTAACACAAGGGTTTGCATCATGCTGCATTATTTCTGCTGCACGTTCAAACTCTTCCCTTATAACTCTTATGCTGAACTTGTCGACCACTCGACCAAGATCATGGGAAACCTCGAATGGATCTTCTATGCATATCAAGTGACGATCGTTTCCTACCCTTCTAGTCCAATCCTTAGCCCGCTTGCTATGATTATTAAACAAAAATGAATGTTCGACCAGTTAGATCACCATCTTTCCCCACAATTCTTAACCATAAGAAATGATTGGTAAGGACAAACCAAATTATAGTATTTATGCCTCAATACTAGTGTTTTAGTCTTACCTCACTATGCGTCCTGTGCGTACAGATATGACATCATTTGCATAATCGTGGCAATAGGCCCAATAGTTGAAGAACGCCCATACTAAATGAGCAAGACTTTCTCTGTTCTTTGATCCAAAGCCACGGAACTCTTCAATTTTATCAAAGTAAGTACATTCAACATTATCTACAGTGACGGAGTATGTAGGTTCCATTCCCTGATAAGAAATCAGCACAAGTCAGAACACTTCTATCTAATATAAACAAAAATAGGAATGTCTTATCCACGCAAATTATTGAATATATTCCTCACAAGCATTTTAAACATTTTGTATTTATCCTTGCATCCATCCACTAAAGGGATTACACAATCATCAAAAGAACTGGTTCTTTGTGAGAGAACAAATAATAAGCCTAAAAAAGGCTGATATAGATTGGATAAAGCAGTTGAATGCCCAAGAATATACTCCACCAAAGTTGTATCGCAATATCAAGTTTACTTCCAGTCTTCCTGGCCTTCGTGCATACCATACCCATCATCCAATCACAATATAATAAAATAGAAAAGTTGGTGCATGGGGTCTCAGTGAGATACACAGATAAAAGTGAATCAACAGACTCAAACCAGAAAATGAAATGCTAGAAGATAATTGGAACTTTAAGAGATAAAAACACACCTGTAGGCAGGGGAGGATGGCAGGCCTTCGCTGCTGTAACAAATGAATGCACATCAAAACATACCTGTATGCACATGCATAATTGGCCAAAATAAGAAATGGAAAAGGCACAAATAAGAAGAAACAGTAGCAGTCATATTTATCAAAGGAAATGAAAACCTCCATGAAGAGGGAGAGAGAGAGAGTATGCCAATGTTCAAATCTCAATAACTTACGCATAGCTAGATAGTGTCCCATGATAAGTCTCATTCACTCCTCTTGATTTAGCCCAGTGTTTGACAATAAAAGCCAACTGTCTTAATCTCACATCTATCTGTGAATAGTCCCGAAGCAGCTTTGTATTTTCAACAGCCAGCAAATTGTTCACACATATATCACAAGATATACCAGTTCCAGGATCCATAAGCTTGACAATGGGCACCCTGGCACGTGTCAATGCCTACATATTGAAAATTATGTATTGTCATAGTGAATAGCATAAAGCTATCTAAGAACCTTCTAATATGCATAAACCACATTCTGACATTCATATTATGTCAGGATCTAGAGCACAAAGAGTGTCATAAACAACATGAGCCAAGGCCAAAATTACAGACTGTTTACCTGCACATTCTGGAGGTTTTCAGCTTCCAATAACTCAGCAAGCCTTAGTATGATGTCTGATTTGTTAATATCCTTGTCATCAATTGCGAGGCAAATATCAACGTCACTTTTTGAAAACCCAAATGAATTGGTGCATGATCCATAAGGATGGAGCTCAGCATCAGGCCATTCTTTAGTAACAATTTTCTTTAACAGCATCATTAATTGCTTTTGCTTCTCCTTTTCTTCCTCAGTAGGTATCAGTGACTGATAAATATCAAGGAAGGGAGCACTATACCAGTTTATATCACTACGGCATTCAACCAGACTCTTCAATATCCTCTTCTTCTGGGGAAGTAACCATTGCCCTCTGCTATCAGATCTATTGTCCTGATCGTTATAGTAGTAGGAGATGAGTCCTCAATCAATTTTAGAAACAAAGTCTAGATCAGAGAAAAAGGTAGACAAATTTTCAATAAGAAGAATTAATTGCCATGATCTAACAAAAAACAATAATCAAATAACTTTCCCCATTAATTATTGAAACTTTTGAGCTATAAATGATATCATACTTTAAGTCACCATCCTAGTTGTTTATAACTGAAAAAGAAAAATTATGAGGAAAAAGGGGGAACAGTATACAGAGCAAAGCATTCATATTTGTACAAAGCAATTACCTTTTCACGAGATCCAAAACGTTTCTTCTTACTTCTCTCATCCGATTCATCTTCAATTCCAAGAGAACTTGGAGGCTGCTCTTCTAGATCTTCTACACTCTGGAATTCATCTTGAGCTGTCCTCATTTTATCCTTAGCCTGATTTCTGGATTCTCCCCTACTTTCACCATTGCCACCTTGTATTCCCAGCAGAGAATCCTCAAAATCAAAAGCTGGAACAGCAGGTAGTTTGCTTCCTGAGGGCAGAGCAGGGTGCTCAATCTGACTAATAAGCCTTTGATCATCAGAAACATCACTATAGCTCTTACCATTGTTACGCATGTATCTCCTATCCCTCTCATTTCTATTAACCAATCCAAAACCCCTATGATTCACCTCACTGCGGTTGCCCTTCCCCATATCCATACCATGCTCAAAACCTCTCCTCCCAACCATGGGTTCCTTACTTCCTCCTATCCTAGACATATTTGCAAAACCTGGTGGAGGTTCCCTCCTCCCACCATCACTCTCTCCCCATTGCCCTGCACCAGCACCACGCCTACCTTGCTCATGACCCCTTAAAACACCTGGTGGAGGTTCCCACCCACCACCATTCTCTCCCCATAGCCCTGCACCATGCCTACCTTGCTCGTGACCCCTTAAAACACCAGAATTTCCTTGTTGGTATCGGTTCAAAAGAGACAAATCATTGAACTGAGTCTCTAAACCATTCAGTCTACCAGCATTCCTGATATTGGGTTCTCTCTCCTTGCGAATTAAACTCACAACTTCAGGGTCTCGAGTAACAGTTTCGTTCGATTTTTCAGTTAATAAACCCTCACTGTGTAGCATACCCATGTTCAAAGAGCCAAAGACGAGATTTTGCTCCGGCACACGAGCCGAATGAGGCTTGGAGTTTGATTCCAAAAGTCCAACTTTGTGAGCATGTTCTATAGGCGAGCTATGACCTAGTTGGGGATTGTGGTGCTGGGCTTGATGGAAGCCAGCCGGGCTTAATGAGAAATTAGGGTTAGGGCTTTGGGCAAACCCTTGCAGGAAGAAATTGTGGGGAGCAAATATGGGCGTACCAGCGGGAGGCGGAGTCTGCTGCTGCCACGGAGGAGCAAAGGCGAGATCGTGAGCAGTGGACGGCGGCTGGTAGAATGGCGGGAACGGCACACTGGGCCCCACTCTCGCAACCGCCGGATCGTGCTGTAGGGCCTGCGGCGGAGGCACAGGTCGAGCAGCAGCCGGAGGGTGATTCGGAGGATTCTGGAGTAATTGGAGAAGGAACTCCCCGCCGTTGACGGCCGCGGGTGGCGCCGGCTGAGGCGAGGCGTCACTCCCACCGCTCCTCATGAAGCTTGACGACATTTCCGGAAGTCGTCTAGCAACACTACAAGATATACGCCTGTAATCCTGTATTACTAAAACTTATATATAATATATATGCAGATTGGTATATAAATCAAGACTAATGGAGTATCAAGTGTAGATAGAGAGAGAATATCTGATAAAGTGATGACGATTCGATGATTGCAATTTCCAATGGGCTTAGCCATTTAAACATCTACGGACTACAACGTCAAATACTAACTACTACTATTGCAACTTTGCTTCCAAAAGTGGAATAACTATGAATAATTTAGATTAATTTGTTTTAATAATCTTTTTGCTTCTAGATACACTTTGATAAAAATTAAATTAAAATATATGTAATTCCATAATATATTTAAAGACATGGATATACATTTTTGTAATAGAAAAAGTTTATTCCGTATAATTTATATCTCAGACAGCTAGCTGATGATAATGGTTGTTTGTTTTTCGGATCTAGACCTCAAACTTGAGCTCTAGATTTGGAATGAGGGCGACGGCCATGTCCATGGACACCGTCGTCATTCTAGACGGCCTTGGTCGTCATCCGTCATGCTTCGATAGCACCGGCTGTTCGGCGAGGACAGTCGGTGCTGTAATATTTTTTTATTTTTTTTTTAGATTTTCTTAATTTTTAATAAATAAATTTTAAAATTTTAAAAAAAATAAAATTTATTTAAAAAGACACATGTCATATTTTTAGAGAAGTAACCTGCTAAATAAGTCAGTTTGGACTTAATTAAACATTTTTACAGGTTTAAGGGATCTGAATGAAACTTTGTTGACTTAGGAAATCCAATTACACTATCCACTCGACTTAGCGGGCTAATTTGACCCTTTTTCCTAATGTTTATCATTATACCAAAGCTAGCATTTATCTTCATACCAAGTGATTCGTTTTGATACCAATCGAATCAATCGCTTACCATAGCATTAAATTAAAAGTTATGACCAATAGGTGGCAACTCCAACCAAACTAGTTAAAATTGTTGGCTTGGTAATCACAATGTTCCAAGTTCAATTCTAAATGGGAGCAACTTATTAGTCTTCTTAATTTGAGTTAGTCCATTAGGAGGGTGACCTAAGTTGTTTATATGTAGAGTTTACTCAATATACATCATTAGCTAGTAATTATGAGTGTTGAAAAGTGAAATAGGCAATTGGTGTCGAGCAACGAGAAAAAGGGTGAGGGAAGTAGGCAATGAGAATGAAGGGAAGTCCATATTTGGACTCGACTAAAGGAAATGATGTAACTCATTAATGAGTAACGAGAAAAAAATAGGTGTCCAGATTTAGACTTGACAAATGGATGAAGTAACTCGAACAATGAGAATAAAGGGAAGTCCATATCTAGAATCGATCAAGGGAAAGGAAGTAACTCATCAAAGAGCAACGAAAAAAAATATAGATCTAGATCTAGATTTGACAAATGTAGGAATCAACTTGTCGATGAATAAGAAGAAGGGAGGTCTAGATTGATGAGTGATGAAAAAGAATGGAGGTCACCGAGAATGAGGAGTCAACTCAATGACAAGGGATGAGAATGAGGGAAGTTTGGATCTAGACTCAATCCTTAGGAGGAGGCAACTCATTGATGAGCAAAGGAAAGTGAGGGAGGTCCAATAAAAAATAAATATTTTATTTAAACAAATATCACCCAATAATTATAAGTAGGGGTGGGATGGAACGGGAATGGGCTTTAGACGGTTCTACCCAAAAGGTTGAATTTCCAACCTCAAGGGTCTTCATACCTTACCCGATAAAGCATTTTGGAAGATATAACTCACGATGATTCAATGACGGCTCTATCAGTATGCACAAGAAATTTGTCTACTTTGACATGATTCTCACACTGCCGCCACCAAGGTTCGAACCTTGTCTTTTTTTCTCAAATATTGTCTACTGAACCATTAAGCTAAACTCGTGAGGACAACTTTTGATTTTTCAATATGAAGAGTGTGGATGTGTCCATACTTTTACCGAAAGAGATGTTCTCATTCAAACAATGTTCAATCCCTTTCTAGGTGGTTTACCTTGTCTTCCCCCCCCCCAAAAAAAAAAAAAAAAAATTCATGGAAAACATATGCTGTACAATGTTGTCTTTCACCTCAGAGAACAATGCTGAGCCATCAATAATTTATGAGAAAATATTAGGTGAGCCAATACACTTGAGAACTGAATGTATAAAAGTGAAATGAATCCAGTGTTAGCGAAAAATCCATCATTCATTCACACTAATAAGCAAGAGTGTCTATATGATATGATAAGATATGATCTGAGACTAGCGTGGCTTTGCGCCGCCGTTTTCTTGAACAGAGTTGACCGGGGTGGAGGAGCCACTCCGCTGACTCTTAGAACTGCTTGAATTCCCAGTAAATGTCCTGCCCATAAACCTTCCAGCTTTACTCAGTCCAGACCCAACGGCTCCAAGCCCACTTCCCACCACCCCAACGCCAGCCCCAATGCCGCTACCTACCATACCAACGCCCGAACCCACGAGTGATGCCGCCCCGTCAATGGCATCCATAGTGCTCCCTATCACACCTGCTGCTTTCAGCTTCTTCCTTTGTTCTAGGATCGCCTTCTCTTCCTCCAGAGCAGCTTGCTGCTCTTCCTTGTTGAATTCTTGATAAAACACCTGAAATAGATCAAGCAAAGAATTCACAATGAATCAGCATAATAACCTTAAACCCAATTCCTACCCACAACCCACAGACATACTTACCTTAATTGTAAGGGTCCCTCTATCCTTCTTGTCTTTGACTTTAAGCATATCGAGTTTTGGCAGCAATCTCAATTCAATTTCTTTGGCTTTTCCAGCTTCCAAATCCTTCAAAGGTAACTTAGCAACTCCCATTCTCTCATCTTGCCCGACATTGTCTTTATCAAACACCTGTTAAAGGGACCAAATTGTGAATGCACTCACTAATATTGTCTAGTTTCCACAGTGGAAAGAAGATATTGAGACAGGGAATCATATTTCTCCACAATAAAATACATGAAACAGTGACTACAAATAAAGATATAATGCAGATAAATATGAAGCGACAAGCAAAACAAGAGAAAGGGCAAAGGACTATAACCTCAAGGATAACAAATTGTGTCTCCTTGTCTTCTGCAATCAACTCAAATGTCTCGTTCCAAACAGGGTTGAGGTTGTTATCAATAGTTTTTGTTTTAACCTTGAACAGTGGACGAATATATAGAACTACATATGGATCAGATTTTCCGATCATTTCCTGGTTTTTTAAGTTAGTTGCCTTGATTATAGTTATTCTAAGCTTCCCTTGTGGCTTAAGCTCCAAATCACTGCATTAGATATAGAAAAATCCAAAATTCTTGGTTTATTAGCTAATAGTTACATATATTACGAAATTTGAATATAAAAAGAAGGCGAGCGAGAAGAGCAGAATTTTGGAAATTAGTAAAAGACCTTGTATCCACGGCTGTGCCACCAATTGGAACAACAATTCTATGGGGCCATTGTAGCATATCTGTGACAATTGTTTCTACAGTATCCTATGAAAAGAACAGCACTATCAGTGGGATGGGCAAATAACAAAAAAAAAAAACAAAAACAAATTTGAACTGGAAAACGTTTTGATACTTACGTCAATCATATCTGAGAGTCCAGGAATAGCTGTTAAACTTCCACCAACAGCCTTCAACACATAATCAATTCTTGGTTTTGGCTGATTGAACAGGAAAGGTAACAATCATTCTTCTTTTTTGATGAATAAGAAACTCAATACATATTAATATAGGAGGCTAAACTGCACTAATCACATTCTCACAACTTTTTAAAACCAATTCGATATTTTTGAAAAAGAACAAAATAAAGGATCAAGAACAAGGGCTATCAATGGTTGGTGATTATGAGGTTAGTGGGCCGCTTAGTTAGGCTATAATGCACATGAACCAAACCACACTAAAAGATTGAATCCAATCAATTAACTAGTCTAACCCATGACCTTATAAACCCATATGTTCTCTCTTATTTTTTCAATGTGGGACTTTTACCCCAAGCCCCAACATGGATACCTCAATCATCAATGCATCATCACTTGTGCACTTAAAACTATACCTCAGATAGTAAAGCAACAACAACAGCAGATATGCATGGAATTTCCTCCGAAAGTTGGAAGACAACGCGGATAACTGTGAAAACTTGAAGATCTTTCAACTGCAGCATTTTAAAGTAGTGATAGTCAGTGTAACATTGTCCAGAATATAATGATTCAACGTACAAATGGGAACCAAACTACAAATATATGGGCAGGATGCTTGAACCACCCACCTGGATGGGTATAGAAGCAACTAGAGCTTCCACAGCTAGAATGATGCTAGGATCTCCACCCCACCGAAAGTCAATATCCATTGTAATTTGACCTTTTTTGAGGCTCTGAACACGAATACCTGCATGGAAGATCGAGCAACAAAATAAAATAATTCCTGAAAGACTGAAAATGAAATAATATGACTTTTGGATTGTTTAGTTGAGTGTTACCTTCAATCTTTGGCGCCACAGTTCCCAGGGACAGTTTGCTGAACTTTAACGAATTAATTCCGGTAGGTCGATATTCTTCTAACAGAGGTTCAACAGACATTCTAATAATAGCCTCTGCTGCCTGCAAAGGAAAGAAAGCTGGATTACAGTAATTCCTTGGACACTTTCCACCTTAAACAATGACTTGCACGAATACAGAATACTCCGTATAACATATCATCACAACAATAACATACTCTGCAAGTGAAAATATAACTGCATAAGAAACACAAGCACGAATCTTACTTCAGCAACAAATGGCCAGAGCTTGCTCAATTGTTTGTTCAACCATTTCACCTACCAAAGCGAGACTAAGTAAGATAAACATTTCATAAAACAAGGAACAATTATTTTTACTGATATTAGTAGCATGAATATAGCACTTCATGATCCATAGTTGTGAATATGACATCTTACAACACTAAAACATCAAAAGACACTATTCATTGCATAATATTTGCTCCTCTCGAGCTTCACTGTAGCAACTCAGTGTCGGATGAAAGGAAATATTTTCTCCTGCTAGAACAATTAAGAGTGTCTAAGCATTAAAGACTAAATTAGTGACAAGTCAACCTGCTCATAAACGGGGAAAGATATCCATTCAGGAAAATTATCACCACATATTTTCTTCAAATCATCCCTGTCAAGGCATCCCATTAGTTTTACATCAACCGCCTGTCAGAAAATAAGATACAATTAAATAAAAACAAGAAAAAAAATTACAAGTCAGAAATCTTCCGTTATATGTACACTTGAAAATCACAAAATCACAATATAACGTGCCAAATTTGTAAACCAATGATACACCTGCAAAGTATGGCAACTATACAACAAAATATCGCTACATAAGACATACTAAGCAAGGAAATTATACTCAACACTAAAAACTTCTAATCTATTCTGGTTTTTTGACTAATGTTGGACTTGGTTCATTCCCAAGTTCAAATCTTTGAGATGCATGCAGCAAACATCTTCCTTTGGAAGTGAGGGCCTTGCCCAAACATACTACTTGTTGTTATCAACTAAATTCAAACTCGAATTTCGGCATTTGACCCTAATTCCCCTGATCAAAATAAGGAACTCCATACAAGAATCAATTCTTACACTAGTTGTCAGGTTCAGTAAAGAAATAATCTCGAGATTAGAGAAAACAGGCAAATTAAGATCATGACAACGATTGTACGAGAAATTAGTGAAAAGACAAGAAGAAAACAAACATCAGAAATTAACTGACTTTGGCCCTCCGCTTGCTGCTCCGATATCTCATCATATGTCGCCAGCCCGCCATCAAAGCAATTCCAAACAGAATCCCCATCAGCATCCCCGAAATCAGCCCCATCTTCGATGATCCAGCAAAAAATTTCCTTATTCCTTAAAATAAAACGCACAATTTCAGAACCCATAAACTCAAACTTCATATCAATGCACACTCTTACTCTTACCTGCTCCGAAAAAAAGAATTCCTGCAACTGCCTTCAACTGACCCAGTAGCTCCTTTCTCTCACACCAGGAAGATATAGCTTTCTCTCTCTGTAATTATAGATTGGGTTGCTTAGCATTCCCTCCAGAGATCCTTTTTGGACGTTAAAATACAAGCACAATAAAAATAGAAATAGCAGCACGGCAGTAACAAAAGATTAGCTGGGTGTCATTAATGGGGAACGTTGCACTTGAACCTATTACCTACGCCATCCCCTCTACCTCTTCTGTGCATTGAATTCTCAGATTTTTAACCACAACTTCATGCCCGGACTTTGACCATCTTCATTATTTTTCTCGTTTTTTCGCTGTCCGTTTCTTGGCAATGGAGATTTGTCTATTTGCCTTAATGCCTCCGATTCTTTTGTAATTTTACTGTGCCTACCTATACTTTTTATAATCTTTTATTCCCCTCTCTTTTTCTTCTAATTTCATTCTTCCCCAATACTTCTTTGTATTTCTTAAGAGGAAATAACAGTTTTCCGTTATCACAAATATTTTTTTAATACTATCGACTCTATTACAAATATAATCGACACAATCATTCAATTATAAACATAACAATTTTTAGTCTTGATATTGTTATGTTAGATTTAAGTGTATAATTATTAATGAAATATAATATTTTATATGTATAATTATTAGTACACAGAGTTTTGTTGAAGTTCTCGATAGGTTAAGGGAGTATTAAAGGTATAGTGAAACGTCAGGGAGCACGTGCTATGGTTATAACATGGGGTCGTCAATTAGTTTGTGTATTTGTGCTGATCAGATTCATATTGGTGTGATGGTTGAAAGGACACTTCACGTGCAGCTTATTCATATAAGTAAGGTCCATTTCCTCGTTTGAAAGGTCAAGAGGTACACTAATAAGGTTGGTAATCATCGTATACGATATATTCCCATCAAGTCTCTACATGGTCTCTTTATGCTTTAACTCACGACATTTTGAGGATATTAAGTGCAATCAAATTAATTTAATTCAAACATATTGAAGTGACCATAAATGGACGTTTAATAATGTAATTATAAAATCGAATGATCGCATTCATATTAATCTCACATGGATTGAGATAGCGAGTGGTCCACAATACTCTTTATTAAGGATAAACCATTAAAGCATTTTGACAAAGGAACATGCATTACGAAAATCAAAGGTTGTCTTCACTGGTAAAACATTTGTACATATGAACACAAACAAAGATTCATTCCCATCTCAGAAATCAATGGGATAATGCCATGAAGGGAAGGGAGAGATCACAACTTTGCCTCTAGCTCTCCCAGTTTCAATATACCCAAAAGCTTCAACCACATTACAGAAATGGAATGGACCTGCAGGATCAATCACTGCTTTCACCTTTCCACTCTCCAAAAATGGCTTCAGCTTCTCCAGAATTTCCCCAGACACTGTCAAGCCTGAGTGCACTGCTCTGGGATTCGACGGCGGCCATGTTATGTCAATAATTGTTGCATTTTCTTTGGCAACCACAAACGAGTTTATAGAATCGCCTGAAAATCGAACCGAATAGTTACATCAGCAATCTGCTTATCAACCGCCACGAGTTGCTGACTTGCTGGGTTAAGAATGGATAAACTTACCAATTGTGTCATAGACAAGATCATATGTTTCTGGGATTTGTTCATATGTGGTGTTGGTGTAGTCAACAACCTTGTCAGCACCCAAACATTTGACAAACTCAACCTTAGGGGCACTAGTTGTGGCTGCAACAGAAGAAGCTCCATAGACATGCTTGGCAAGCTGAACAGCCAGAGATCCTACACCACCAGCTCCTCCAACTATGAACACACTCTGCCCTTCTTGAAACCCTGCAGTCCTGAAACCTTGGGCGGCTGTCTGAATCGCCAATGGCAAGCTGGCTGCCGCCTTGAATGTCAGATTCTTAGGCTTCATAGCCACCAAAGTCTCCTCAACAACTGTGAACTCTGCCAGTGTTCCCATCCTCTTCAGCTCCCCTTCCAAGTTGAAGTTGTGGATGTTCCCATAGACCTCATCTCCAATGTCGAATTTGGTCACACCACTCCCCTTCGCGACGACAATACCTGCCATATCACATCCAGGAATCACAGGGAAATTCATGGGGACTAAAGAGGTCTGCCTCAGCTTGAAATCGATAGGATTCAAAGCAGCAGCTTGAACCTGGACAAGAAGCTGATCATGTTGAGGAACAGGAATGAGGAAATCTCCAAGCTTTAGCACTTCTTTAGGACCATGCTCTTCATAGTACCATGCTTTCTGCATATCCTGCAAGCCATTCGGTTCTGTGCTGAAAATCTTCATTTACTGGCTTTAAAGAATCGCCCTGTAAAGCCCGAGTAAGAGAAAGAGAAAGTGATGAAGATGTAAGAACAGAAACTGGAGAGATTTGGATATTATGACAAAGAGCTTGGCAAAACGGAAGTAATACTTCTGAAGTTGATGAAGATGATGTTTTGTTCCTATGCATAGAGTAATCTGAGCTGACTTAGCAGCACATTAAAAAGAAAAAAAAAACAAAAACCAACCACTTACATACTGTCCATATCAACACTAAGAACTGAAAGCCACTGACAATAAAGACACAACATATTTTAACACTGTTTAAAACAGTTTTCTAAATTTGAATGTTAAAAGTTAAAAATTAAGAACTGAAAGCCACCATTTCCACATATCACATATTGTGCCCATTCTTAATCATAATTGTCATTCATGCCAATCTACAAGCCAAAGTAAGTCAAATTCATGTTGCAGAAGGAAGAAGTCTCCATTTCTTGGAAGGAACAGGCAATCCAAGCTCTCTGCATTGCTCTTCATTTGGTGGTGAATATAGCAATCCAGTTCCGATGTAATGTACAAACGCTGATGCGCTCTCAAGATGACTGTGTAAACTAATGGACTTTGAGCTTGTCTTAGGTTGTTTCTGCTTTGGTACATTATTGTCTAGCTGTGCCGCCTGCAGAAACCGTGCTGTTGCAGCATCCCATGAAAGCTCATGTTTTTGTTTGTCAGTCAGGGGGGCGGGTTGCTCGGACAATGCCTTGAGAGTTGCATTGATAATCCAAGAATGCTCCTTTTCTCTAGATAGAACTGCAATATGCCAAGTGAAACAGCAACTAAAAATGATCAATCAAAGCTTTAAAACACAGCAGTTAGTTAAGCAAACCAAATCTCATTTACTGTACTTTTGCAGGATAAAAACGTATCCTGAAATTTGATTTGAATCCAGTCCTCTCTTCAACCCACTGGAGGGCATAGTTTTGTTGCTCATAAGGATTAGTAAATGTGATGTTCTTGGGAAACAAGTGTTGTTGGTCTTTCAAAGGCACCCAAGGGACAACCAGAGTGACCTTCCTCTCTCCATCTTTGGCAAGATAGGCAGCACGAAACAAAGGGTTGATAGCAGTTCCAGTCAGCCATGGAATGCTTGCAGTAGTGAATATTGCAATATGCTGTTTCTTATCCATTCACTAATCAGTTTAGTTACTAATCCAACAAAAGAAAAAGAAAAAAGTAAATAGCTTTGCTCGCTAATCGTCAGAGGGTGCAAGGTTTAGAGTACACGTTGGAAATCGCCAGACATTTTATGTTTGAAAAGAAAACAAGCAGTACTAAATATAGACTTCCTTAATCTTATCTTTGAAGGATATTATAAGTACAGAAAAAGAAGAAATGTCGAGAATAGAGGAGAAAAAAAACAAAAACAAAAACTTGTCTTGAAAACATGGAAACTTGCTAGCATTTTCCGGGCAGACAATGAAGGTAGGGGAAACCTCACGGCAGCCGATACTTTCTTGAAGCTAGGAAGCTAGAAGATGTGATTAGTTGGTGAATGGTGAAGTGAAACAACTGCCAAAATAACAATGACGTGATAATTAAGGTATATATATTTTTATTATTAATTATTACGGCCTCTTAACATTTTTTGCTAATATTATACCTAGTTTTTGAACCAAATATAGGGTAGTGTTGTTGGCCAAGTATCTTGTGCTCACATATAGTGATTCTTTCATATGGAACGTCAATCGACTCTGAGTGGAAGTAGCTAAATATGCAACACTTGTTGATCATAAAATTATAGAAGAAAGTCAAGGAACGTATCAATTCAAGATAAATATTCTTGCACACCTAATACACAACCATCTAAAATTAAGAGATGATGGCCCAAAAAAATCCTCATGTGCTCATATATATAAAGGATCCATATATAAATGGGTGTCCTCATATGAATATGAATATGAATATTAATATAAATATAAATATAAATAAATAAATAAGAAGGAAAAAGAAAGGTCAAGAAGTGGAAGGTAGACCGATCCGAAGAGGTACCGCCGCGCGGTCAAGACGGGTCACTGGCCACGGCCGGCAGTGGCGTGGCCAGTGCGCTTGGGCATGTCCCCGCACCCCTCTCCGGGTGATGCGGCGTGGGGGTGGTGTGGGTGGTACGCAGGGATGGTGAGTGGATTGTGACGTGCAGTGGGACACGTGGTGGTTAGAGTTGGAATGAAGTTGTAAGACATACACTTCGACGATGCAAGATTAGGACAATTTACTATAAATAGGGTGTCTGGCATCCTATCTGTCTGAACACTACAAGCACATTGGTCTAGGGGTCATTGATCTATATCTTCAACCCTTCTAACTGGGTTCAATTCTAGCTTGTTGATAACTTAGTTATCTATAGTCTATCCTCTTAGCCTCTAGTCTTAGTGTTTTGGGCCTCCCTTTTTAGGCTTGTGCCTTGGTCTTTGTACGATTATTTTGGGCCTAGCGCCCCGACAATAAATATTGTTATTTTTCTACCACTCATTCCGTATCTTTATACTCGATTTATGGTGGACCTGATTCCAATAAAACTATCAGAGATTAATCTTAATTTTTCTTTTTAAAAAAAATGTGACTACACTCATCAATGAGATTACTTGATCTCTACATACCAACATAACTATTAAGACTTTAATTTCCGACGCGAAATCTTTTATATATTGCCATTTGCCATGCATGTAATCTCTGCTTCTGGCATATATATTATATTGCATGAACCTATATTATGATTAAAACCAGTCAAAAACTTATCATCATATATTAGATTTCCCATGCTGAAGGAACAACTTTAGCCGATGAAATTTGAATTCCAAGAATTGACAACTTGTAAGCCGTGTAATTTACGCCGAGAATATATACTTACGGATGCTCTCCCTGCTCGGCGCGCGCCTCTGGATTGTATCGGTTGGCGGTAAACATTTGCATCACCGCCGTTCCTTTTTCCCGAATAAGATCTTATTCTTGTGATATACATATGCAGTACCAAACGCTGCAATTGCAGAATAGAATTATTCCTATATTTTGTGCTTTGATCTATAATTCGTGTGCCCTCAAAATTTCAGCTAACATTATCATACATAACAACGTAGAAAAATTAAAACATTTTATCTTGATTGATTCCGATAATATTGAATCTTAATTTTGCGATTGTTTACCATTCAGCGAAAGAATTAATTACGGTGTCCGACGGCGAAAACCTTTAAGTATACCAAAAAAAAAATGATACAAGCATTAGTTTGTACATTATATTATTGGTAAATCTTATTGTATTCCATGTTTCGAACATAATCATTAATTTATATTCGGAATAATTAATATATAGCATTATTGTATGTTTTTAAAAGAGTGATTGAGTGGTGGAGCGTGATTAGTTGAGTGGTGAAGGATGATTCATTGATTCACAAATGATCTTTCTAGTGCGCTTTACTTATAAAGTGAATTTATTTAATACAAATTCTCGAATAATTGCTATGAGTTTTCTCGTCACTCAATAATATATGAGTAATACTACATGTACTCTCACTTTCTACTCCTGCTGAAGTATCATTATTTGATTGGTTTAAATAACAAAATGGGTCACTATTTTTCTTCATTCACTTGAATTTATTAGTACACGTGGCGGGAGTTTATACTCAATGGGAGTACATATACCATTTTCCATAATATATATAGTATTGTATGGAATTTGTGTAACTTGGGCATGCAAGCTAAATTGTTAGTCAGAGAATTATTCGTGGTAGAAGATATGGAGCCCCATTTAATTAATCATCATGCTACAAAAGCCGCTAGTTTTAGAATCTGGTACTGAAACTGTTCAAGTATTTTTATTATTATTTTTTTAAATAAACTGTTCAAGTATTCTCCAACTTGAAAGTTGCAGCCTGCTGCTTATTTACCTAGACTATAAAACATTTTTAATTTGATTTATATATTTATAAAACCTCCATATAAAAAAAATATTTTACAAATTAAACTACAAAATATTATAAAAACCATGACTCATTATAGATTGATGGCCAGCAACTTAATTAATATGTATCCACATTAGTCCATTCAATTATTTAGATGAAGTAATAATCTTCACTGTAATGTATTGTCTCTTTCTTCATAGTGAAATCTTTCTCACTCATAATTACCTTGGCAAGAAACGATTGATCATCTTTTATATTAGACTGATCTCACAAATCTCTCAACAGCTTTAATCGTCTTGCACTAAAATGTTGAACTAGTTGACAACTTAGTTCAACTACTCTTTGATAACTTCTTTTGATATTTGTACTTGATCCTGGTGTACCACGACTGTTAAGACATTACATACTCACTCTGAACTAATGCTTTTGTTCTAAAAACTTTAACCCATAAGAGATATTTTTCAAACATTGTTGTTTAAAAAAGTGTTTTATTAACAAGTACAAATGGTAGGTTTCATGGTAGTACAATATACTTTTCAATTTAGGTTAACCTTAACCGATCCCAACCAACTTCCTCTTTGCAAGATGAGATGGCATGCTAACTGATTTTTTTTATTTTTTTTTTAATGCTTAAGTCTATAGCAAGTTTGTAAGATATGCAAGCGTGCTAAATATATAAAAGGCTGCCGCATGTACACCTTTTTGTACTTTATTTATTTTTTAATTATTTTATTATTATTTTGTTATTTTATTATATTGTTATGTGATATTGGTGTCCACTAGCTTTTAAAAATAGATTAAATTTGCAGAGATGTAGTGTGAATATTAAATGAATTGTAAATTTAATGATATGAAAGTGAGACTCATTTTTAAAAGTGAGAAAGATTTGTGGGGACAAGGATAACCTTATACACAATAAAATGGAGTTGGTCATCAATTTCTTGACACACAACTTAGTCACTCAAATCACTCCTACATGTCCTATTAAATTTATAACAAAATTTTTGTTTTTTCTTTGATTGTTTGTTTGTTTATTTTTAGGAAAATACTATTTACTCCTCCAAATTTTATCTCTAATATTTCCATCCATGATGTGCGACACTGCGACCCCATGCCACTATTAGTTAAAAATAAATTAAAATGCCATGTAAGGAGGGGAAGATTGGAGGGATAGGTTAGTAGGTAGCATTACTTTTATTATTATTATTATTATTATTATTATTATTATTATTATTATTATTATTATTATTATTATTATTATTATTATTATTATTATTATTGTGTAACAAAGTTATAAGAGCAACCACACCTATGATTTTTTGAAATTTTTTTCGGATCTTAAAAACACAACAGTTGGTTTTTGAAAGTTTCTAAGATCATTTTTTTTTAATAAATATTTTCATGTATATTGAGTCTAGATTCATTTATATTGTCCAAAATACATAAATATAATATTTTATTACCGTTGATGAGATCAAACTAAAACGAATTCTAATAAAAATTGAATCGTACAATAAGTTATATGTATCATACAAGCGAATTACTAATTTTAAAAATAGTAAAAAAGATAATTCGAGATTACTAGTATAGCCTATATCTAAAAGAATGAAATATATATTCTTGATAAAACCCGTTGCATATCGTCTTTATAATGTGTGTTTACGTCTTCTATATAATTTATGAATTATTATATACTAGTATGATTCAGCACACACTCTTAACAGTGATTACAAATTTCTTTCTTCCTAAAAAAAAATGGAATATATTCTTAGCCTTGCCTAAAGCTTGTGCAACATAAATTGCCAAAATTCCATTCCCTTACCCTTTCTGAGTTCTGCCCGCCATCTTCCCGGGCAGCTTTAATAAATAGTTGGTGTTCAAATCTGACCCTCCAATAGTCCAATCTAGTAGCATGGTCGATCCAACGATCTCCAACACGCTGTCAGCTGCCCATCGAATCCCGGGCAGCACCTTCCATATTTCATCGTCTCGACTGCTTTGACTCGGCAACTTTCCATGAATATATGCACGCTGATAAATGATAATGAAAATCCAAACTTTTTATTTTTATTTTTATTTTTTTAAAAAAAAAGGTAAAGGAAAAGGAAAAGGCAACTGACGGCGACGATTTTTTGCATTCAGGAAACCACATTATCGAATGAAACTATAAATAGCAGTGGGAGGGTTGGTAGAAGGCGTGAGCCCGTGAGGTTGGAGTTTGAGGACGCACAATTAACTCACAATGTGGAAAGCGTTGGGATATGCAGCGTCGCGTCTCGGTCGATCGCGGCCGTTCACCACCGCGATCCCTGGACCCTGTATCGTCCACAAGCGCGGCGCTGATATTCTCCATGATCCCTGGTTCAACAAGGTCTGTATTCTTCCTTCCCTTTTTTAGCTTTCAATGTCTGTCAGTATAACCTTAAGCACAATAAAATGTCGTGTTTTTACGATATACACACGCACGCACATACATCAAGGTTTAAGCAATTTGATTTCTATTATTTTTTTGATCTGTCGTCTCAGCGAAAATTCCCTGCCAGCGAGGGTTATGTAATCATGGTTTATGTCAATGTTTTGAGTGAAGTGTTAATACCGTCGTCTTCATGTTTGATGTTCTTGTCTGTTTCGTGTGGAGTTTGATAGAGCTTAAAGCTATGCGTCGTCAGTAGATCTTAATCCTAGAATTACTATTCTTCATTTCTGAGCTGAAAAGTAGCACTAATGGCTGAGTTTTCTCAAAAACAGGATACAGGTTTCCCGATAACTGAACGAGATCGACTGGGCCTTCGTGGTCTTCTCCCACCTCGTGTTATATCATTCGAACATCAATATTCACGTTTCAGTAAGTTCAATAGTTTATGTAACTGTGTTCCTGTTACAAAATGTGATGTTTTGTGAGTTGGGACATCATCCAGTTGAAAGTGACTTTTGGTTGCTTTGCTACTTGCCAATTGTTTATTTGAGAGAGAAAAAAAGGTTCTTAAAATCAAATAAATGTAGTTTGGTGAATTTTTTATGGTCAATTGAGCAAGTGGACAACAACTTGGTGCCCACTTTTTGGCACACGTACAGATCTTTTCTATTTTTCTATCTTTCTTCTTTTGTGCATAAGTTTTTGCATAAAACCATAAAAGAACTTATTCTCTAATTTTCACATAGAAGAAGCCACCTGATTGGTTATTCTCAAACTGCATAGAACTTATTTCTTTTTCTATTGTGGAGTATCTTCCTATTTCTTAATTACTTGCTCACAAAAGTATGCCTGATGTTTATTTGCATTGATAGTGGAGTCATTTCACTCGCTTGAAAAAAAAACTCTCGGTCATTCGGAGGGTGATGTGTCACTGGCGAAATGGAGGATCTTAAACCGACTTCATGACAGAAATGAGACATTGTACTACCGAGTAAGTTTGGTTACATATGGTGCTTGTAAATAGTAAGCAGTTATCAAATTAATGTCACCCTACAATTGCTTCATTTCCTTCTTTTTTTTTTTCAGGTTCTTATTGATAACATCAATGATTTTGCTCCTATTGTGTACACTCCAACTGTAGGATTGGTATGCCAAAATTACTCAGGGTTGTTCAGACGCCCACGTGGGATGTATTTCAGTGCCAAAGATAAGGGAGAGATGATCTCTATGATCTATAACTGGCCTTCTGATCAGGTACTAAGTGAACCTTGCAATTACAAATTGCTTTATTAGTAACTCATTCATATATTAAACTCACATATTATCTGATTTATTGAATGCATAACAGTATAAATCAAAAGACTTTTAGTGTTCTTCTGCATTCCATAAAACTTGAAATGGGAGTTCTGTTTTTGAAAATTATGGTGCATAAAAAATCACTCTGCTATTGCAACTTGCAAGGTTGTCTTTTTGCTTCTGTATGCCTAAGATGAAGAACTATTCTCACTGTCTGATATGATGGCTAAACTTCCTGTAATTGCTTTTTGTTCAGCAAATACATTACTATTTCCTTTGCTGGGTTGCAGGTAGACATGATTGTGCTGACAGATGGAAGTCGCATTCTTGGTCTAGGTGATCTTGGAGTTCAGGGGATTGGCATACCAATTGGCAAACTTGATATGTATGTTGCAGCTGCTGGCATCAATCCCCGAAGAGTATGTCCCTCTGTGTATACTTTACATGCTATTTCACACAGACATGCATGTGATATGTGCAACTACTTTTGCATGCCCATATCTATGCCCTTGAGGTGTCTATAACATGGGCATATATCCATCTCATGGTGGAAATCTGTCAACATAAAACAAACTACTGTCTATGATCAATTAATGATAGTTTAACTATTATATTGTTCTGCTGATTTTGGAGTAGTTATATTTATGCCTTTAGCACAATGGACTAAAAACATTAAATTTAATAGTACTATGATTAACCAGACTAGAAGATCATAGCAGTGTGGTTCTGTTAGATACAAATTTACGTTTGATCGGTGAGGCTCTATTTCATTTGCCATGCCACTTTGCAAATATATTTGTACATTTTTCCTGCTCAAGTACCTTCCTTCTGCAATATCTGGTAGGTACTTCCTATTATGCTTGATGTTGGAACAAACAATCATAAGCTTCTAGAAGACCCTCTATGTGAGTAACCCTTGAGACTATAATGCTCTTACATATTAGTCCTTTACTCCTTCACCTTCTTTTCTGACCTGTTTTTATTTGTTTCTTTCCATTTGAACTGGTATCTTTTTGTCTAACTTTCAACTGCTGGACAACCTTTCTCTTTTGCATAGATCATAGTTTCTATCATAGTTTCTAATAGTTGGTATTTGATTGTGTTTTAGATCTGGGATTGCGGCAGCATAGGTTAGAAGGAGAAGAATATTTATCCATAGTTGATGAATTGGTGGAAGCTATTCATGCTCGTTGGCCAAAGGCTATTGTGCAGGTCTATTTTCTTTTGAAGTTTGACTTGTCATGTTCAATTGTAATACTAATGCTATGCAAAATGTCATCAGTTTGAGGATTTTCAAGCAAAGTGGGCATTTGAGACTCTACATCGCTATCGGAAAAGGCTTTGCATGTTCAATGATGACGTACAGGTAGTTCTTGATTTTGCAGTATCTCTCTGATAACAGTAAAACAAACATACAGAGTTTGCTAATCATTGGGTCTCCTTTCCTTGGGCATCTCCTATGTCAACATTTATTTTAATATTCTTGTTTTGCAGGGAACTGCTGGTGTTGCTCTAGCTGGTCTGTTAGGGACTGTTAGAGCGCAGGGTCGACCATTAACTGATTTTGCCAATCAAAAAATAGTTGTGGTTGGAGCCGGAAGGTAGGTTAAAATACAAGTACTAAAAAGATTCCCTTGTTCATATGATCTATGTTTTCAATGGAAGCCTCATGCTACATTTTCTTATTTTGTCCTTCTTTCTCTTGATTCAGTGCAGGGCTTGGTGTTCTGAACATGGCAATGCAGGCTGTTTCGAGAATGTCAGGGCCATCAGCGAATCCCCACTTTTTTGTTGTGGATAAGAACGTAATAATCTACTTATATAGCATGTGTTCTGTATCTGTAAATGTATTGATGCTTTGTGCTCTTTGCGTACTATGAATACTATCTGAAATTTCATAGACTTCCAAAAGCTAGTATTCTTCATTTTGTCATAATGTAAAACATAATTATATAAGCAATCGGAGATTAGTAAAAAGTCAAAGATGCAAATCAAAAAATGAATGTGACAGTACGCCATTTTTGTCATGCTTGCCCATTTTCTTTTGATATATATATTTTTTCTTCTGTTTATTTGAGAGACTATGGGTGCTGATGCAGGGTCTTATCACAGAAGAGAGGCAGGACCTTGATCCAGCTGTTTTTCCTTTTGCTAAAGCGGCCCAGCATGAGATCAAGAGCATAGGACTTCATGAAGGTGCAAGTCTTGCTGAAGTGGTGAGTTTACTGATAAATTTCGGTGGCATGTATACTTTTTGCTAGTTTAGAATGGGATATATATATATATATATATATATATACACACACATTAATCGTTAGCTTGTATTGGTGTGCTATGGATAAATGTGGTTGGACAATATAACCCCAGGAAACCTACTCTCATCCTTAAAATTTATCAGTACCTTTTATGCTTATGCAGGTTAAAAAGGTTAAGCCTCATGTGCTTCTTGGTTTGTCTGGAGTGGGTGGTATCTTCACTGAGGAGGTGTGTCATCCATATTTACCATGCTTTTTGCACCATTCATTACTTTTCTTTATTCTCTTGTATGTTGCAAGGTAGGAAATTTGGAACTTGGTTTTGTGGTTTCAAACCGATGCATTATTCTACCTTAATTTTCTTAGCTCAACAAATTTTGATTGGAATTCCTGCTGCAAATCATAATGAAATCTTTGTAATTTGTTGCATTAACAATCAATCAGGTGCTAAGGGCAATGCGTGAGTCGGATTCCTCTAAACCTGCTATCTTTGCGATGTCAAATCCCACAACTAATGGTTCGTCTCAGTGCCTTTCGTGCATATATACTCTTCTATTTTCACTTGACTTAGGGGTTTTGCATTTGCTTGGCTTGGAACAGCTGAATGCACTGCTGCCGATGCTTTTAAGTATGCTGGTGGAAATATTGTGTTTGGTAGCGGGAGCCCCTTTGACAATGTTGACTTGGGTAGGTTCTTGCTACTTTTGTGATACGTCTTTTGATAGTATCTGGGGATTTTTCTTTAATGCCTCTAGCTATAACAATAGAACAATAGTGCTGTGGTCATTTTTTCTTGGGCTTGTTGATCTTGTTACCTCACTATCTGTATGTTTTTGATGTGGTCGTCAGGAAATGGAAAAGTTGGTCACGTAAATCAAGCAAATAATATGTACCTCTTCCCAGGGTACGTACTGATTTTCATCTCATTACGTGAAAACCATACTCTGTTATTCCTCAAACAACTCAACGATTTTCATGCTTTTCAGGATCGGTTTGGGAGCTCTCCTTTCTGGTGCAAGACATATTTCTGATACAATGCTGGAAGCAGCTGCCGAGCGGTACATATTGATTCTTCTTCGTTCCATCACTCATCCTTCTCGAGCTTTATAAACACACTCACTAGTTTTTTCTTTTTTACTCTGCAGCCTTGCTTCTTATATGTCAGACGATGAAGTCAAACAGGGAATCTTGTATCCATCAATTAACAAGTAAGTAATCACCTTAAACCTGCAATATACGATATTATGATTATTCATGGTGTCTGCAATGCAATGCAATTGGCTATATCTGACTGACATTTCTGCCATATATAACTGTGTAGCATAAGGGACATTACAGCAGAGGTTGGCGCTGCTGTTTTGCGAGCAGCTGTTTCTGAAGAACTCGCGGAAGGATATCGCGACGTGGGGAGGAAAGAGCTAGAACACATGTCAGAGGTATAATATTGAATTCCAGATTTGATTCATTCATTCCCTACGCGTGTTTAGCTTGTAAAGAAGAAAACTGACAGTTTTACTCATTTGCTTAATGTTGATGAACGCAGGAGGAGAGTGTTGAACATGTAAGGTGCAATATGTGGTATCCAGTTTACAGTCCTCTTGTTAACGATGATTGAACCACATTCTTCCCGCATCTGGTATCCCTACCACTTTGAGACTCGAGCTGGGTTCAGCGGTCAGTTGTGCGTTTTTAGCACGTTTTTTAGGTCTATAATGTAGTATGAAACAAGAAGGTGCAAGTAGTATTTGTAGTTTTTTCTTACATCCAAGTCTTTTCATTTTTTATTTTTTATTTTTTATTTTTTAGTCAAATGTAAACTTTATGCTATTTTTCTAAGCTTGGTCCTTGGCTTACAATTTGTTTCATTCCAATATCCAATAAAGAGGAATTTCCTATGTGATTTCCTTTCATTTGGCTTCTTCTTCACTGCTTCACATAAAACCACCAAACCATTGACACAAGGCATAATGGCATATGCCTTCTAAAGATACTTGTGGACCTACATCTCTTGTGTGTGTGTTTTTTAAAATTGGGAATTGATTTTGAGGATTTGAAGAGGTTGAAATTAATTCAAATTTGACATTCTTATTCAAAGAAACGTTTGACTTGTATATCATTTAGATTCAGATTCGACTCACTCTTACTCTAATAAAGGCCTACACCAGCCTTATAATTTTAACTGACAAATGACAAATAACCAATTTAAGTAAATATTTAAGTTGTCTATAACTAATTAGTTCAAATTAAAGTCAATAGACAATTCTCATAAAAAGTTGAACTTGGAGCCATTATCTGACCAACTTAACCGATCTCCAATTTCTAACATGTTTGAGTGTTAGTAAAGTGTGAGTAATAGCTTTAAGTGAATATTACACAGCACAGGATGGCAGCCACTCACGACTCACCCGCGATCCACCACCAAATGCTATAAATACCTTACGCTTCAAGAACAGAACAGCACATGCTCCATCTCAGATTTGCAACACTTCCTCTCACTCACGGCTAAGCTCTTTCCCTTTTGCCCGCATTACTCGCGGACTTTACGCAAGTAAGCCATTCCTTCACGCACTATCTCACTTTTCCTATTGCTAGCTAGCAAATTTGTTTGGTAATGGCGCCGTGGATTTGTTTACCTGAGTTTCCGGCGGAGTTGAATTTACTTTTTTTGTGACCTTTCGGGCTGGCGTTGCGTGTCCTCTATATATGTTTGCAATGTGCATTATGAACTTAGTGATCTGTTCTTGCGTTGATTTGCAGTCGCTGTTGCAGATTGAAGGTTCCGGATTCAACGCTGACGACTTTGGATCCAATGGCTGCAAGGAAGCCTGGTTTGATTGCTCTGTTCGATGTCGACGGTACGCTTACTGCTCCGAGAAAGGTACGGGCCTGAGTTTCTTATATCTAACTTTGATTGCTAGTCTTCCATTATCTGTTAATCTATTACCTTCTGCATAGACCTTCGAACGATCTCAAATTCTCAATTACCGGCTACTTGAGATAGATTTTGCTGTGGTTAGCTCAATTAATCAAGTGAAACTGAGTTTAAGTTATTACGGAGTATTTAATTTTTGGAACAAAGAAGACTATGCCAATCTGTTTTGAGTTTTTATGTATTGCCATGTATTAGTGATCAATTACTTTCCAATATTGTACTAACTTTTACATATGCAGCAAAGTAATTCAAGTTTACTGTCAATCACCACTGCATGTTTTTTTTTTTTTTTTAACTTTACTTTAATTTCAGGTGGTTACTACGAAAATGTTGGAATTCATGCAGGAACTAAGAAAGGTAGAGAATTTTTACTAGATTAGTCTTCATAATAGGTTAGCTGAACATAAAATGCTTTCTGCTTAAAGGTTTTGGCTACTGGCAGGTAGTCACAGTTGGTGTTGTTGGAGGTTCAGATCTTGTTAAGATATCGGAACAGCTTGGCAGCTCTGGTTAGCTTTAATTACCTTTTCCAGAATTCGGATTGATTATGAATAGAGCTTCTTGCTGATTAATATAAGCACAGGAACAAATCTGGTTTGGTTGGATGTTTTGTGCAGAAAAACTGTAACTACATACTATTGCATTCACAGATGCCTTTTCTTTTTTTATATTCTTTTTAATTATCTCTCTTTTTTGTTTGTGTTATTATTATTTTTATTATGGTAGACTTTATCAAACTGATTTTTCTATGATTAAGTGTAATATATTTTTGCAGCTATAAATGATTATGATTATGTATTCTCTGAGAATGGACTGGTGGCGCACAAGGATGGGAAGCTAATTGGAACACAGGTGATGTTAAAGAGTTCTATCTAACTTTTAATCTTGTGTTTTCCTTCTTATTTCACATTTGATATCTCGCTGATTATATAATTCCACATTTGCAGAGCTTGAAGTCTTTTCTTGGGGATGAAAAACTCAAGGTAAGTGCTTGTGCCAAAAACTGCAATATTTGTGTCCAAACAGTCTTCATTGTGTGAGGCAATGCAAGATAGTAAGAAGGAAGCCCTTCTTGGGTTTATTGCTTTATCATGACTGTGTACTGCAAACTATGAATGCAGGAATTCATTAACTTTACTCTCCACTATATTGCTGACTTGGATATCCCAATAAAAAGGTGAGCAGAAGAAAATTCAATCCAAAAAGAAGTGCTAAACATTGCTCAGAAACTTCTCAGACTTAAACTTTTCTCCTCCCTTTCCTTCCTTGTAGGGGAACATTCATTGAGTTCCGCAGTGGCATGCTTAATGTGTCACCAATTGGTAGGAATTGTAGCCAGGAAGAGCGAGATGAGTTTGAACAATATGATAAGGTACTGTATGAGTGTATAAACCACTACTATAATAGCTTCACGTTTACATCTCTAACCAAAAGAATTGGTGGATTTAGTTGATCTGATTTGTCTAATTGGTGAAACATGTTCAGGTTAACAAGATCCGTGAACAGATGGTATCAGTCCTTCGAGAAAAATTTGCTCACCTCAACCTCACTTTTTCCATCGGGGGCCAAATTAGCTTTGATGTAACACTAGTGACTATTTCCTTGTGCTTAATGAATTATTGATCAGTAAAGTTTCAAGTCAGAGCTCAGAAGATGATTCTGTTACAGGTTTTCCCTCGAGGATGGGACAAGACATATTGCTTGAGATACCTTGATGAGTTCAATGAAATCCATTTTTTCGGAGACAAAACATATAAGGTAACATTAGTTTCCATTGCAGCAATTACTGACTATTTCAGCCTTTTATCTCAATGATCAATATGAGCTTCTGTACAGGGTGGAAATGACTATGAGATTTTTGAATCTGAGAGAACTGTGGGGCACACAGGTCAGATCTATATGTTCTTGAATCTGAGTTTCATTACACTGGATTTGAGCAATCTTACAAGTTCATTGCTTTGTTTTTCTTGCCAGTTACTAGCCCAGATGATACAGCAAAGCAATGCAGAGACGTTTTCCTGTGATTTCATCAAGCAGTTGCAATATTCAATGCATTTGAATTGTAATGTTATGTATTTGTTTGTAAAGCAAACCATGTTGTGCTCTAAATAAAAGCTTTGAATTTGTCTTTCATTTCCAACATTAAGCATAGATTACATTCCAATTGCAATAAAAGGTGATTGTCTTTACAAATATTTCTGGCTGATCTCTACTGGACAATGCTTAGATTTCTGTAGCATTCAAGCAATCAAATTCAATGCAAAACATCAAATCCCTTGGATTTAGGCACAACATCAAACTTTGATCGCTCAGATCACAGCAAAAATAGAACCCCAACATCGAGCAACACAGACCACAAATTTGATACAATTAAAAACAACAGTCTAGCTATTCATAATTCCAAATTTGTAAAACTTATCAGCTCAATTGGGTTTCTTTCTGCCTTTCTGGTATAGAAAATAGAAAATATTAGCTCAAGCAAAGATTCAATGAAATTCGCAGCACAAGAATCTTCAGAATGCAAGTAAAGAACAGAAATTTCAGCCGTGGAGATCACTTCTGCAATCGATCGATTTCACTGATGATTAAGCGCCCGGCACGATTGCCTTTGGGCGTTTCTTAGAATTATTCTTGGGACGAATCTTCACGAAAGCCTTGGCCAAAGCCTGGTCTTGATCCTGCTTCTGAATCTGATCCTCGACGCTATTTGATGCATCATCTGTGGCCCAAAGCCTCTCCAAATCGTAATAAGTTCTCACTTTCTCGTCGAGAGCGTGAATTATCAAGGTGCCGGAATCAATAACAATCCACTTCCCTCCCTCTTGCCCTTCCACGCTCGGCAACAGCATTCTTTTCGCTCCTTTCTGCTTTTGCTTCATCTTGTAAATCAAAGCTTGAGCGATATTCCTTACGTGCCAGGCTGATCTTCCGGTGGCGATGACCATATAATCGGCGAAGTCGTGCTTCGGAATCGGAATGACTTGGATGTTGTCGGCCTTAACATCGGTGAGGATTTTCTCCACCTCCTCCAGCTTCAGCAACTCTCCGCCGCCGTTAATAAGCTTGCTTTCCGCGGCGGAGGAACATAGAGAACGATTGACAACGGTGGAGCAAAACCCTAGCTGCTTGCAGCAAGGTGAGAGAGCTCGAGACCTTAGAACCGACCACATTGCATTACTGCCACGGATGGTGAAACGAAGATTTGTCGTTTTATATTAGGGTGAGAGTTCGAGAAAATGAACTTTTTTCCTACTTTGCACTTTATCTTTTGAATTTTAATATGAAAATTACCAAAGTTTAAGTATAATTACATTGAGATATTTGACTTTTTATGGTGTCATAATATTTACACACTTTGATATTATTAATTTATTATCTACACCAATATCATAGTACTAGGGGTGTAAACAAATCAAATAAAAAAAATTTGATTCGTGATTCAAATTTGAATTCGAATATTTCAAATACGAATCTGAATTCGAATATTTTTTTCGATTCGAATACTTTTTAAATACGAATACGAATTAGAGTGTATTCGATTTGAATAGTATTCGAATATATTTGAATATTTTATGCTATTTAAATATAAATTTTCATTACATTTTATCTTAATTTATTGGAAAATTTTTGTAAAAAATTAAATTAGGCATTTCGAATTCAAATATTCGAGTCAAATCGAGTATATTAAAATAAACTGGTCGAATCGAATACGAATCAAATTTGATATTCAAATATTAAACGAATACGAATATTCGAATATATAGTCAAATTCGAATCGAATAGTGAGATATTTGACTCGATTCGATTCATTTACCCTCCTACATAGTACTCGTATTATTAATATTTGTACTAAACAATATAAAAATATTAATGATTATGGTTAATAATACCTTCTCGATCGACATCTTTTTTATAGTTTGTAGATTACTACACAGAAACAAAGTTTACTTAATGCACACCTAGGATAATGCAAGCACATTTCCTAATAACAACTAACAAGCCTATTAAAGATTATATTCTATGTACAAAAGCTCTAAAAACATTTTAAAAAGTTGTTATCCCAACTTTGCATAAAATGCTTCAAGATACAATGGTTGTGTTTCTCAACTCTTACTCGTTGAAAAGTTCTTTACCAGAGTTAGAACTTTTGACTTTGCAGTTGCATTAACAGATGGCTGACCAGCGACTTCTTGAAATGCTCAATTAAGTACACACTTTCTACCATTCCATTGCGATAGTTTAGTGATGTGAGGTTAAGTGTAATTAATCATTGTGTAATCACATTCCAATTAGTGGGCATGTGTTCATCTTTCTTTACAAGTAATGTGCAAAGGTTGAAGGGCGTCTATAAGATGAGAATGTAAGATTACAGAAAGATGTGCAAAATTTACCAAAAAGTTTGCTGCTAATTTCCTGTACAGTTATAGCATGGGAAGAAGTAGAGTATACAATTGTTTATGCTGTTTTCTCCATGTTCGTCTTGGCAAAACAAATGGTTTATATCGCCAGTGTACCTTCTGGTTCATCTGAGAAGTCTGAGGATTGAGGTTTGGTTTTATTCACAACCCCAGAATATCCATACCCAAGAGAGCTTCCGGTGGTTTGACATAACTGCAGTGATACAAGAAGAATTATGTGGTCTAGTAGTAGAAAAAGGTATAATATATCTTGAATGTAAAAGCAGGCGGTGAAAACACTGTGATACCTCGGCTAGCTCAGATAGGTGTCGGGACCGAAACTCGTTGATCGTTGCTGCTATCTCTGACATCGGCAGTTTAGTCTGAAAACCGAGAAAATGTTAGAGAAGTCGTGACATGGAAAGGTGCAAATATATATAGCTCTGGTGTTGCAACTACTTACTTGTGCAAGGACTGCAGCAGCCAACTGTAGACTTGGTTCCAAGGTTTCTGGCACAACCTATGAACATTATAGACCAAAACTTATGATCTACATGAGTGAAATTTTCTTATTGCTTGTGGAGACGTTAGTAAAGGACGAAAGGTTTTTAGTGCAAAAATCATGAATTCATGCAAACACAGGGAAGCGGAATCTGTTGAAACATAAAAACAGATTAAAAAGATAACATGAGAGAGAGAGAGAGAGAGAGATACCGCTGTTGCTCCAGCCTTTTCCAAGTTGAGGCCGTGATCAACATCGTGAGCACGTACGAATGTCTTTACGTTGGGGAAATGCTTGTTCAGGGCCCAAACAGTTCTGTAATTTGCACCGGGGCTATCCAATGTTACTGCAGCAGCGCAAGCTCTTTCAGCACCGACTTTATGGAGTACCTAAGAGAGAAAAAAATATAACTTTAGCAGCGGGGTCTCCTTGAATTAAAACTATGTTTTCTCGTTAGCTTTACCTCTCGGCTACCAGCATCACCAAAGTATACGGGAAGATCAAGTGCACGTCCAATTGCAACTCGATCACTGAAAACATTGAAAAGCGAGAAACATTTGATGATTACAATCCTTGCAGAAACAATTGAAGCAGATGAAAAAAGTAGAGAGACTTTAAATGATACCTTCTAACATCAAGAGCAACAAAAGGAATCAGTCGTTCAGATAGAAGCTGTGCAATGATCTGCAATAAAGACACAATTAAAAACTGGGAGGGACGTATCAAGCTATATAACAAATTAATATAATGAACTAAAAGGAAGAAAGTACAACACCTGACCCACACGTCCAAATCCACAAATAATAATATGATCTTGCAGATCATCTGTCTGAAAAATGCAAACAAAATTTTCAAACAGTGCTCCTGTACAGTATTAGTATACTGCTAAGAGAATAACAGAAGTTGATGAAGTTATCAGTTCAACTAGCGAAAGGTTTAGATGCTTCACCTCACTTTCCACAGGTAACAAACTTCGCACATCATGAACCTCGAAACGAGACGCTATTAATTGGCCTCCAGCAGCCAGCCATGGCGTTAATGCCATTGAAATACCCACTACAAGGAACAGCAGAGATGAAAGCTGGGGAGACATTATTCCCTGAAGCCAACCAAAAAAAAAAAAAAAAAAAGAACTATTCTCATGTGATGTCCTTTGTGAATAGCAAAAGCAATATTACAGGAACTTGGATGCAGCACATGGTGACGAAGTTTAAAATAATTGTATTTTCATTGTCAAAACAAATATGAATTAGGAAATGAATAAAGAAAACCTGGTTAACAGCTTCTCCAAAAGCAACAAAGGCAAACTCTCCACCTGGAGCCAGTAGGAGTCCCACCCTTATTGCAGATATAATTGAAATGCCAAAAAGCCGACCAATTAAAGCAACCAATACTGTTTTTCCACCAATTAGAAGACCAAGTGAACCCATAATAACTGGGAAATTTGAAACGAGAAGCTTGGGATCAATGGACATTCCAACCTAGAAGCAAAAACCAAATATGTTGTTATGAAGCCATAGTTCATACCATCAGATGCCGGAAAAATATATTTAGCTCAGAACAAAGCTGGTTGAATTTTGTAAGAGTGCCACAGCTGCATCAGGAAAACTATAGTGGCAGAGGAATGAGATTTCATTGCATGAAATCATTACAAAAAGCAAGAAGGCTAGACCGAAGGAGGGCAAATGGTCAAACAGCACAGAGTGACATGAAATGTACTTTTGGATATGCAAATGAAAACCTACCGTCATGAAAAAGAGACCCAATAGAAGGCCACGGTATGGAGCAATATCTGATTCAACCTGTAGTGAAAATTCAGTCTCTGCAAGAAGTAAACCGGCCAAAAATGCACCTAAAGCCATAGAAAGGCCAGCCTGTTGATCAACATTGAATATGACATTAATGCCTCGACAACAAATTCCCAATGAATGAATCAATACAAGAAGAATAGATGACACCTACCCTGGCAGTTAGGAGGCTAGTGCCAAGAATTACAAGCAGTGTATTAGCAGAAAATATTTCTGCATTTTTATTCTCCGCAATTTGCCTATAAATTGGCCGAAGCAGCTGCAGATTATTGAAAAACCATAAGGGAAAAGTTCTAAGATCTATGAGATACATTGAAGCCTATGGGTTATAACTCACAAACATCAAACTCTATATGAAGGAAAGAAAAAAAAATAAAAATCCATAGAATTCAGAAATTACAGTTAGTGGAAATTAAATACCTCTTAGAATTTTCTTTGAAAATAAACATTCACAAGAACTTTCTATAATGTAGCAGGATCAGCAACAACAAAAAAAAAAACTGCATAGAGATGACTGAAGTCCCAGAATTTTCAATATTCATAAGCTTACCAATCGCCCACCAGCAATAATGGCAGTAATAGCCACAATTGCCTTGACAGCAGCTACTCCAAGGGCTTCAGCTATGGCCTGGAAACCAACCTGAGAACCACATAATTTGATAAGCAAATGAGGCAGCATGCAGCATAAAAAAGGTGATAATAAAAGTTACAACAACCATAAGTTCTGTAAAGACTGTAATGATGATGTGGAAACTAGAAGAAAATATTAATTTAGACAGTTGATCAGACTATAGCATGAAGGATATAAGCATGGAAAAACTGAAGAACTCAGAAAGGAGCCTTCAGTAGATAAACCAAAAACTTCAGAGAAAAGGAAATTACCCCTCCTTTGGACGAATTTGGTGAAATAAGAGGTATCAGTATAAGCAAAACAACCACTGCTAAATCCTGAAGTAAAATAAAAACCAATAAGCTAAATTAGAATAATTAGAATCAAAGTCCACAATTGCAAGAAGAGACATGCATCAATACATAGCACTTAAGAATCAAGAAAATTCTCCAAACATGTAAATACCTGGAAGAGTAATACAGAAAATGTGGCTCGTCCATGTCGTGATGTACTTTCACCACGCTCCTGCAACACCTGCACGTATTCCACTACAATCACTCCAAATGATCTGAAATGGAAACACATTCTACCTTTTTCTTGACTAGTTTTTTTTTTTTTTTAATCTTTTTTCAGAAGTGGCTAAGGGAAAAATTTAAAGATAAAAAATGGTCAAGTACCTTCAGCTAAACAAGAAATGAGGTGAAAATCTGAATACTCATAGTGATTTTACTTAAACAAGAAATGAGGTGAAAACCTGAATGCTCATAGTGATTTTAGGGAGACACCATAAAGTTTAGCTTCATTCAAAAAAAATTAAAGATAAAAATGTTCAAGTAACTTCAGCAAGACCTACAAAACAGATACCAGGCGTTACCTGGAGGACAACAGCTGTGGAAGATAATGCAAGACCATTCCCAATGACAATTGCTGCAGGACCAGGCTGTGCAGCAACGACATGAGTTATCAAGCCAACCACTGCAGCTGTCACTAACACCTACATTTGTTTATGCACATAAAACATTGAGGCAATGTTAAAAGGCAGAAAATACCAACAAGGTAACAACTTATATTGACCCAAAAAAAAAAAATAATAATAATAATAATAATAATAATAATAATAATAAAATAAAACAGTCACCTGAGCAGTGCCCAAACCAAAAACATACTTCTTCATGGAACTTAGCCTCTCAACAGAAAGCTGGCAAGTAAAGATCAAAGCAGAGGTGGAAACTCCCATCATTACCTGAGGGTTAAACAGAATAGCCTAGAAAAATAGCTGCTATTTCCTATCTTTGCAAATCCTACCTCCAGTCCAATATTAAATAGCAGGAAGACAACTCCAAATTCAGCAATTGCCTTGGTTCCATGTACATGACGAATAATAGATAGACCATGAGGTCCAATCAAGATTCCAGCAGCCAGGTATCCAAGAACAGGACTTCCTGAACATTGCAGCAGACTCGCTATGAATAGGCAATTTCCCAGAGCATATATCCAGGTCATGAAAACTATAATATGCAGTCTGAATTTTCACTAAGAAAGGGATATTCTTGGCAGAAGATAAAGTTGTTCCATATTACAGAACCCGCAATAAATTGAGCTATGACTGGAGTAAGAAATCACAAACAGGAGGCAGTCTAGTGAAAGGCAAAAATGAAGAAGAGATAACCCAATGGAATGTTCAGTATAAGTGAGATAGTTACCACCTCAGGAAGAATTAAACATAGAAGATTAACTACCTCCTGGGATTTTCTGGAAGAGAGGCACAAATACAACACTTGCAAGCAGTAACCAGAGCATGTCAAGAAGGGAAGCTTCCTCCTCATTTACCTAAATAGTGCAGAAAACTAAAGTATAAGGATAGACTCATAAGCCAAGACTGGCCATCTCTATCTCACTTGCAAAACACAGAACAAAAATATAAATATTGAAAGATGGCATTTAAGCCAACTGAAGTAAAATGAGTGTTGTAAGAACATACCTCTTGATGAGGAAGCTTATCCATTAGTTTCTTTATTTGCAGGGGCAGTTTCTTTATTTGTCGGACTAGGGGCTTTGTGTTTATGGAAACCTCATCAATACTAGTAGTAATGATGTCTGGCTGCTGAAATAGCTTAGAAATTTGCTCAGCCCGATTGATATAGAAGAAAATTCTGTAAAAGATTTCAGCAGCATATCAAATGTCAGCAACTGTGGCAAATGATAGCAACTTTATGAAGCAAAGGTCAAAACTTAACCAGGCAGGTTTAGTACAGTTACTGCCACTGTAGAATAGCACAAGAAAAAACCAAATTGGTTCAGTCACTCTTACCCTGCTCCAAAAAGCAATGAACCAACCACCAATTTAAGTAATTCTTTCCTTGCTGACTCCATAATACCATGAAAAACTGAAGCTGGTGTGAATTCTTCGCCATCTGCAGAAAATGAGAAGAAAGATGCAGAAAAGAAACGGGATGATTTATTCAATAAGGATTTTGGAGCATTTATTGGTGAGCTATCCCTGGCTGACTCCTTCTGCAATTCCTGTTTTTTACTTTGAACATTTTTTGATTTCTCTGAATCCAATTCACCATCTTCTTTGTCACTTTCATCAGATAACTGTGCTTCATCAGTCTTATAGCCTGTTATATCAAATTGGTTATTCGCTAATGGTTCTGCAGTTACCCAAGCATCCTCAGGTAGCACCTCCCCTAGCTTTTCAACATCAGATAGATTTCCCTCAGTCACGTCATCCTCAAGAGCAATCCCCTCACCCAGTACCTGTCCATTTGTAGCTTCTGTGGAATCAACATTTGAAATTGCTAGGCTCTTTTCTGCTTTCTGTAAGGCAATCTCTGCATCACTTACACGCTGTGTAGCCTCGAGTTCAAAAGCAACAGCTTGCTCAGCTAAAAGCATTATGTTTGCCACATCTTCCTCTGCCTTGAGAACATTCATTTCTGCTTGATGTACAACCTCATTCAGCCTTTCTACTTCCTTTTGTAACTCTTCCTTTCTGTTCTGTAATTGCCTCAGTTCATCAATACAATTGGCTAAGCAATCCTGGCATTCACTTATATCTTTGTGAGCAGCCAAAAGCAGTTCATTGCCCTCTGTTGATGTAGTTGGTGCTTCCCCTTTGCTTTCTCCAGATGTTTCCTGGGACCCAATACTTTCTTTTGAAACCTCCAATGAGTCCATTGCCACCTGAAGCCTTGCCTCGGCCAAAGAAAGTGCCATGGTTGCTTTTTGTACGGCTTCTTTAGCTGCAGTTTCATCATTTACTATCTCTCGGATACTATTGAGCACATTGTTAACATCTTTGCGGGCATTTGCTGCTTGGTCCTTCAACAGTATTGCTGCTTCTGATATCCTCTGAGCTTTCTCTTCAAACATAGTGCTATTAATGCGTGCAACCTCCAAATCCTTGAGTGCTTTCTGAAAATGCTCCCTTAAACCATCCAAAGTAGGTTCCTCTGCCTCTTCCTCTTCTTTATGTTCTTCATTTTCCCCTTTCAAACTGCTAATTTCTGCAACGGGATTAGTCTCAATACCTGGGCTTCCATCACTATCACTCTCAATGGAATCTGAATCTCTGACATTACCATTATTAACATATGATACTGAATCATTTCCTTGACAGCGAGGTAATAGTACTCCCCTGTATCTCTTTAGGCAGATAATGTTCCCACATGAATTGGAATTGCACAAATAACAATTGAACAACAACCTTGAACTGAGTGCACTTTGGTCCCTACTAGCAGTGATTTGCTTTAAACGCTTTGTTGGGAGACTATTAAACAAAAATTTTGAACTTCCCAGAGATTTAATATTTGAAACCTTGGACGTGTTTGGTTGATTGAATATTCCAAAAGCCACAGCTTCACTAGAGTGTGCCACAAACGGCTGGAGAAGACAATACGCAAAGCCCATTTATTCTCCTCTACTCTAAATTCACCAAGATAAAACCTTTGTCCTTCATCTACCTTAAACCATACACCTGGCGAAAGAAAAACAGGAATTTCAGAACAAATATTACCTCGGCAGCTAATGAAAGCATCAAAAATTATACCTTTTTTCCTCCACAAAGTATAGCTGCTCTTCCTAATCCGGAAGTATGTTCATATGCATAAGCAAATGAAAACAGGGAGCTGAACTGACTTTTGACTGTGAGAAGAACCGAATTTGAATCGAGCAGAGAGAGAAAATCAATGGCGGAATTCCAGAAGAGAGATATTAGAGAGAAAAAAAAAAAAATAAGTTCTGTTATTTTCAGTGAACAGCCTATTTTCCCTTTTTTTTTGGATGACCAAAGAAATTTAGTTTTTGTTAAGAGGATATTCCAATTATCCAATATATACCCTTTTGGCCTTTTACGCTTTCTTTACTTGTGTATTTATTAATGGAAAAAAAATAAAAATAAATATTTAACATTTTCTGAACCACTCCCATTTTGATCTTTACATATACAAAGAATATGAGGAGTGAAACTTTGGAAAATTCTTATAAGGTTTAAATTGTCATGTAAACATCATTATTGTCAAGTTATGTTTTGAGAGGGATGGGGTGCATAGGTTGTTCAATGGTTGCAAAAGAGAAATGTGATTCAAGATAGAATCGGGGTAAATATTAAATTCGGTAGAAAATTACAATAAAGAGTAGCTAGGCTTTAGAATTTTGAGTATAAAATATAATTGTTAATTTTCATGCGAGCATGTCAAATTAAAGAACAAATGTTGAACAAATATGATAGTGTTTTTTTATTGAATTTCCCCTCCCCTTCATATATATTTTTTTGAAGGTCAACCAATGGGTTGTATTTATAGATGAATCAAAATAGAGTCTGGTGGGATATCGTCCCAGTACATAGCTACTGTGTAATTAAAAGCGGTTGCTGCTAAAGTATGAGCTAAACTATTATGCAATCTAGAAATAAAATTAATCGAGCAATATTCAAACATAGCCATATAGGCTCTGCAGTCATCCAAGACGTAACCAAGATAGGATCGTGGATGAATAGCGGTTGACGATAGGTAAATCTGTAGCGTCTGACAATCTGTATAAAGACTAACCGATTGTTCTTCCCTTCCTTTGAGCCATGATAACACTTCTCTGCATGCTATAGCCTCGGCCATAAGTGGTGAGAAACAGTTTTGCGGTGGTGCACATAATGCCGATATATAGTCGCCGTGATGGTTGAATAATACCGCTCCAGTGGCGGCTGTCGTGGACGATGGGTGGTAGCCAGCATCAATGAAGCATCTTTTCGGATGGGGTGGGAGAGTTCCAGCATCCGGTGTAGGCAGCTGGTCCGTGGAGAGCGTTGTTGATGGGGGATGATGGCAGTGCCGCTTGGGGCTGCTGTTGGGCGTGGAGATCGCCCGGCGGCGGGGGACGCCATGTTGGCAGTGGTGTGCACCTGCCGCCAGGCCTTCAATGTGGCTACAATTGTAACTACAATTTTTTTCGGCATCAGTAGACATACGTTCCAGACTGCTTCGTTTCGGGCCCTCCAGATACCGTATAAGATGGCTGCTACAAATAATATTCCGTCAGAATCTAGAACATTTAACATTGTTATAAACCAATCATGAAAAACATTTGTCACAATTTGGGGAATTGGAAGGTTAGATTGGCTCCTAATGGTTTTTGCATAATCACACAAAACTAATGAGTGCATTGTGTCCTCATGCATTAAACCACACATGGCACACATCGGATCAATCTCTACCCTCGTTATAAGCAAGTTTGTGGTAGTGGGTAGGTTATTACTCATAGCTCTCCACAGGAACATCTTCCATTTTGGTGGGATTCCAAGCTTCCATAGAGTGTCCCATTTATCAAATCATGAGGTAGTATTATAAGTGTCCACCATTCGTCTATACCCATTCTTCACTGAATAGCACCCATTTGGGACTCTATACCAATACCATGTATCCTCATAATTCGAGGGATGGGGATCTTTAAAATTCTAGGTACATCATTTGGGTGGAAAATATATGATAAAATGTGATTAAAAGAAATATGTGAATGTAATATATCATTATATCGATATTAATGTACTCCTCTAACTTGTTTATTATTTGTATTATCTCCTAGTTATGTGCATATTGAGATAATTATTATTATTATTACTAATTTTTAGAACTTCATTTAATAATATAATTAATTACATTTGAATTCACATATAACTAACTATTTCTGTTATAGTAAAAGTAGTATTTACCAATCATTTCATATGTGGCATATATTGACCACTGGATACTAAACACATACGCATCAGAATTTCAAGGAGGAAGAAAAAACAAGGGGTGATTCATGAATATAGGATTTTAAATCTACAAGTTTGATGCATATATAGTAATATAAAAATAAAAGAAAGGTGCATGGTGAAAGTGCAAGCCTACCTGCGAGACTTTAGCTTCATTCTCCCTAAAAAATGTCCTGAAAGATCTCTCAGCCTATACAACATTTCTTAGCTTCATCATAATTAACCCTCCACAACCGAGCTAATAAGGATCCTACCCTAATTTCTCTCTCCCCTTTTTCTTTTCAAAACCCCCCGCAAACCAGCTCACTAAGGTTAATCGCTACACACAAAATGGTATGTTATGCTCCTCTTAGCTTGCAACATTCATTCTTTCTTCTTCTTCTTTGATTATTATTGTGTTGTGTAATGATGAATTTGGATAATGGGTGCATTTGCAGGCGAATTCTTCATCTGGGGTTGGCGTGTTCGACGAATGCAAACTGAAGTTCATGGAGCTGAAGTCGAAGAGGAACTTCAGATACATCGTTTTCAAGATTGATGAAACTGGGCAGGCTGTGGTGGTTGAGAAACTGGGGACTCATGAAGAGACTCATGATGATTTCACCAAAAGCCTACCCTCCAATGATTGTCGTTTTGCTGTTTTCGACTACGATTTCACCACCCAAGAGAATTGCCAGAGGAGCAGGATCTTCTTCATTGCATGGTAACCCTCAACCTAACCTCTATATATACTACTCGATCTTGATTAGTTTCACAGTAATGGGGATATGCTATTATATCTTTATCTTTTTGTTTTGGATTAATTAGGGCACCAGAAACAGCAAGTGTGAGGAACAAGATGGTGTACGCAGCCTCCAAGGACAAATTCAGGAGAGAACTGGATGGTGTTCAGGTTGAGTTGCAGGCAACTGATCCAAGTGAGATGAGCTTGGATATCTTTAAGGGGAGGGCACACTAAACGTGTTTTACTTCAATACATATTATATACTTGCAAAACATACTTTTCCCCCCAAAAAAAATTGCATTTTTATTTACTTTATTACTATTCATAAGCATCTCCATGGTTATGGCCAATCTGGGTTGTGTTTGGCTGACTATTGATGATTGTGTTAGTGCTGAGGATGAGATCAGCATATCCCCATTCTGGGTTTTTTTTTTTTTTTTTTTTCTTTTCCATCTAGTTGTTTTTGAATTTTGAAACATTCTTGTATTACCTTTGATGTATTATGTTCTGTTTCTGAATTAATAATAGATCATATTTTTATACCATATTACCATTCTGTATTTTGCATGCCCCTGCCTCCGTTTCTAATGGAAGATAACTCCTTTACGTGAAGGGCATCGGAGATGCCTAACCGACAATTATCAATGTTGCAAAAATTTCATATAAGCACGGATTAATTTGCACCTAGGCATTAGATGATCCGACAATTATCAATGTTGCAAAAATTTCACTTAAGCACGGATTAATTTGCACCTAGGCATTAGATGATGGTTGCCCGCCTAGCATATCATCATAATCGATGATCGTCCGCCTAGCTTAATCGATGGCGCCTAGCTTAATCGATGGTTGCCTGCCTAGTGTTGGCTGATCACTTAAGACACCAACACCTAGGCATTACCATAATCGATGGTTAGGTGGCTGATCACTTAGACAACCTAAGCGTCGTCTAGACCTCCTAGACACCGACACCTAGGCATCACCATAATTGATGGTCTAGGTGGTGCCGTCTAAGCCTCCAAGATACCACCACCTAGGCCTTCTAGACACTGATTAGGTCGCCTCGACCAATTAACCATTGTTCCTTTCTTTTTTACTTTTTTAAATGAGTTATTGTTTTGAGTGAAATAACTCTAAATTTTCAAACTCTTGGATATTTTTTAGATTAATATTTAATATTTTAGTATTAAATAATTTTTAATTATCCAATCTTAAAAAATTAAAATGTTCTAAACAATTTTTTTTAAAATATTAAAAAAATAAATTACACGGATGCCTAGACACCTCCTGAGCGCCTAGCGATTTTTTCATCCATGCAATTATGTGATTTTTTCAACCATGCAACTATGTGAAGAAATTCTAAAACATCATATGACATGACAACATAGGAGAGAGCACAAGAACACACAGAGATGCTTTATATTTGTCCATAGATAACTCATTGAAGATGTTCAATGGAGAACATCAGTCATCACTAATAATTCTACAAATTGATGCCTACAAGCATAAAGAAAGATCTGAAACACACTGCACATAAAAGGGGGAAGTCATCAACCCTTTATGAGTATGATCATACAGGCCATGGAGAGAACACTTTTTCTTTTGTGAAAAACAGAGTCAGCAGCAATCATACATTCACAATAACTAAACCAATCAGCTGTTTTGGGATATATGTACTCCGGGATAGTGGGATTCTCGAAGCGCAACAAATCCAAGACTGATAGCGCAGTTTCCATTCGAAGTAGCCCCCTAAGACGTTAGGTACCTTCACAGAAAGGAGCTCACCAAATTCTGCACGAAACATGTGTTTCTGTTAACATATCTTTTCCATGATATAAGAAAAGTAATTGTAGTAACTTTGTCTAATTTGAAAATGACAAGTACAATTTTAGTTCATTTATTTTCCCAGTGTCCCTTACACAATACAAGTGGACAATATGCTTGCGCCACACACACATGACACATTTAATAATCACCTAAAGGATATTTTAGGTATATCACAAGCTACGCGTTAAAAAATGAAACTTATTTTCCAAAAGTTCTGTGCCAAAAGCAATGAGACAACAATTATGGGATGCAGTAAAGAAAGAGTTCATTGTTAATCTCTCTTTTTTTTGGAGCTCGGTACTTAACTCTATAGTACAATTTCATTCTTTTGTAAGTCTCACCTCTGGAACCACCACCGGTAACCTCAATCCAAGCGTCCATCACAGATCACTGGCAGTATATACCTTGATCGATATGTGGAGGAATTTGCTTGATCTCAGTTCCAAGTTCTTGCTCAATTCTATAGCTGAAGGTGCAAAACATTAGAAATTAAAAAGGGAAGCACGTTAAAAACCAGCAAGCTATTATAAAGGAAAAGGCATTGTATAAGCATACAGATTGAAGCGATCCTCAAAAGTTATCAGATTTACAGCTAGGCCAAGGTGTCCAAATCTCCCTGACCGTCCAACCTGCATTTAAAATAAACCTCAAAAACAAAATAACATTCAAATATACACTAGCCAGAGATCTAATCAGCATACCCTATGTAGATATGTTTCTGAATTCTTTGGGAAATCAAAGTTGATAACAACATTGACTGCTTGAATATCTATTCCTCTTGTAAAGAGATCTGTAATTTTAGATCAGAGAGGGGGGGGGAAGAAAATAATAAGGAATTACATTAGAGTCATCACAAAGAAAACTTCATAGTAGGAATGTAATAACCAAGTCATTAAAGTTGGAATTATGGCTTATGGACATAAACAGATAAATCATAAGATGTTTGCTTGGAGGCAGACTTAACCATAATTATAAATGGGAAATTAACCTCAACAAAATTTATTAGTGTTTGTTTAGCACAACTGATGGCTTCTTCAAAAAAGAGATTTTTGAAGAGCTTCACGAGCTTCTTGAAATTTGAAAAAGATTTTTTTTTTTTACTCTTATTTGGCCTATAAGAAGCCTCTTTTATAGTTTACGGCTTGGCCCAGATTCTGCTTTTTGGAACACATACGCTCTAAAATAAGCTGGGTCAAACAAATAATGAAAAGAAAAATAAATAGAAAGAAGTTTAAAGATGTGGTCTCTGAAGTGGGTACAAGTAACATACCAGTACAAACAAGATTCCTACAGGCACCATTGCGGAAGTCATGAAATACTCTATTCCGATGATCTTGAAGCATCTTTGCATGAATATAGAAGCAAGAATAGCCAAGCTCTGTGATCTTCTTGGCCAGAAGCTCAACCCGATTTACCGAATTGCAGAAAATAATTGATTGGTTGATTTGAAGCTGTAGAAACATGTTAGGATATATCATTTTCAAGAAAGTAAAATAAACACAACAAAAAAAAAACTGTAGGTAGAGACTAACCTTTGAGAAGAGTGTGTTCAGGCAATGAACCTTCTGCCTTTCTTCTACAAAAGCATAAAACTGTGTTATACCCTTTAGAGTAAGCTCATCCATCAGATTGATAACATAGGGCTTCTGCAAATATCTATCTTTGAAATCCTTCACTGTAACTGGGAATGTAGCTGAAAACATCAAAATTTGACGATTTGCAGGCAAAAACCGTATTAATTGCCCTATAGATGGTTGGAACTCTGGTGATAGAAGCTTGTCAGCCTGAAAGACATAAGAGCAGACACCATCAGAATGTTTTCAGATTCATTTCATTGGAGGTGAAAAACAGAAAAAAGAAAAGAGGCCACTGTTAACTAATGAATCATAGGAATAATAAATAAAATTAAAGCCCTGACTTTTCATACCTCGTCCATAACAAGCATTGAACAATCTTTTAAAATGCAAACTCCTTTTCTTACAAGGTCTAGTATTCTTCCGGGGGTTCCCACCAGCAAATGAACTGGTTGATATAGACGCATAATGTCATCTTTTAAGCTAGTTCCCCCAGTAGTAACCATGATTTCGATTTGTAAGTGCTTCCCGAGTTCTTTACAAACTTGTGATGTCTGCAGAGCCAATTCTCGAGTTGGGACAAGGATAATACCTGTGCATTTAAAGGCACAATGCTATGAGGGAGGTGAGTAATAAATCTCATTACAACGTAAAGGAAATTCAGAATCAGAAGCAAGTGAATCAATGCATATTAATACAACTGAAATGATATTAAGATAGATAAGGGGAGGCAACTGATTCAAAAGGTTCAGATTCAGACATTGAATAGCATTTTTATCCTGATCGATTTTTTCCAATGCAGGAATGCAGAAGGCAGCTGTTTTTCCAGTTCCATTTTTTGCTCTAGCAAGAATGTCACTTCCGGTTAGGGCAATTGGGATACTCTCCTCCTGGATAGGGGATGGTCTCTCAAATCCCTTCTCATATATCCCCATGAGCAGTTCGCGTTTCAGAAAATAGTCTTCAAATTCATTCCCCTTAGTAGCTGTCACATCCTGTAAATAAAATCCTATTAAACCACAATAAACTTATATGACATAGGCAATAAAAGTCACTAAATGATCATACATATAAATATTGAAGAGTGACAAAGTGCCTCTTATACAAACTTCCATAAGCAATGAATTTTATATGAGATACAAGAAATTAAAAAAGCACCCTAATTACAATGATAGAATAAGTTTTGAACCTTGGGAAAACAAAGAGGAAGCAAATGAACACATACATATCCCTAAAAGGAACAAAATGCACCCACATGAAGCTAGACAACACAAATTGGGATCAATCAAAAAGATCAAGAAAATGCAAGGCAAAATGAGCAAGCTATAGCATCTAGGCAATAAAGACTACTCTTTTCTCACAGCCCATCACCCAAAGCCAGAATTTTCTAGTGAAAAATGCCAACTTGCTATTCTAAATGCCTTGGTGGGTGATTAATTTCCCGGTGTGGGAAGAAACTAAACAATACAATGGTCGCAGAGACCGCTTAAAGCTCATTGATTCATTTGATTGCAATTGTACCTCGGTCCTGTAGCGTGTATCAGGTGGAGGTAACTTCAATCGCGCCTTCCAATCTTGCGAACTGCATAAGGAGCAAATTTGTGTAAGCTCGCAACTCACTTCTACTGAGCTTATTAAAGTTCACAGACTCGATTTTTAAACAGCTATGAGTATAACACCAGAAAGAAAAACTAAATCTTACCTCGAATCAATGGCTTCAGACTGTACGGTCTTTTCAACCTCATCAACGGCGGAATCAGCAGTCAACTGGTTGTTCCTTCTGAGCCACTGCTGGTTCGGTAATGGACTTCTCTGCACGTACTGGTGAGGGTTTCTCGGTTGAAAAGCAGGATTGGCATTAGAGTTCAGGCCGCCATCACCTCGTCCCCCGCCGCCCATCCCCGGCGGCGGATATCTTGCTCTGGAATGCATCGCTAGATTTCACTCCAAAGTCCCCGGGAACCAGAGCTCCAAAAGTCAACGAATTTCAAATAAAGACAAAATCTGCGAATTTCGAATTATAGTTTTCCTTTCAGGGAATCTTCGATTGAAAAAATTCAAAGCTTCAGGAAAAAAAATAAAAATTATACTGATGAAGAAGAATAGAAGACGAATAAACGACCAAGCCTAGGGCGTCGAATGGATTTTTTAAAATTACAAAATGGACACTTTATTTATAATTTATTATGGAATTTGGTCATTGTATCCAATAGTGCAAATGGACATGGTCACGGAAGATTTTGGTACGAGAATTATATTTCAATAACTTCTTTATTCAAATTTAAATAAAATATAATAAATAAAACATAATAAATTTCAATTTAAAATGGAAGACGCATTTTAAGCTTTAACATCGTGCACCTTCCGTTTATAAAAAATAGCGCACCAATTGTTATAAAGACACTTTTTTTTTTTTTAAATAAAGAGGAGGGGAACACCCGGAGATCGTTATGCGACCCTCACAGTATAAAGACACATTTTAAGAATGAAAATTGCGCACCTTAAAAAGAAAAAGCACTCACTTAAAGCTTTAGACCAACGCACTTTAAGTTTCAGCAAAAAACGCGCCTTAAGTTCTCAATTGAAGAATTGACGCATCTTAAGCATAGAAACCACGCACCTTACGCACAAAACATACGCTCCTTAAGCACAAAATCTACACATCATAAGTTTTCAACTGCATAAGTGACGCACCTTAAGCACAGAAACCACATACATAAAGAACTAACATGACGCACCTTAAGCACAAGACCTACACACCTTAAGTAAAAACCCTACGCACCTTAAGTATGACCCATATGAAAAATGATTGAATTGTCATTGCGTTTTTTTGTCTCTCATCTCACTGCATATTTCACTTGAGCGCGCCATCAGCATTTGAACATATATATATATATATATATATATATATATATATATATATATATATAGTCAAGGTTCGGCGAATTTTATTATTTTTTTTAAATGTCGAAAAACTTTCGGAAGGCATAACTTTTGACTCGGTTGTCTGATTTGGACAAATTTTTTTTTTCAAATCGTGTATTTTTTCGAGATCTATACACCGCAAACAGCCGAAGGCGGTTTGGTCCACTAATTTCTCAAAAAAATGCTTCTTTAGCTCTTAATTTTAGTTTTTTATGTATTTAGATGGTTTAAACAATCTTTTGAACAATTTTACAACCACTTTTGTAAATAGTTTCTAAACAATCTTTTGAACAATATAATTTTTTTTAATTAAAAAAATAAAAATAAAAATAAAAAATCGGCGCCTAGGGGGCGCCTAACGTTTTTTGCAACATTGTATATAGTGAAAGGTTCCAGTGCGGTTTAATGCTTTCCGTGCGGTTGTGCGGTTATTAATGTGCGTGAGATTTGTACTCAATGTGCGTGAGTGTTGTGTCTAATGTGCCTGTGATTTGTACTTAATGTGCATGAATGTATAAAATGCAACATAAAATATGGATATCAGCTTCTTCCCCATCCCTAGTACCTGCACTCTGTGAGTTGCTTCAGAATAACTTCGATTATTGGGTTGCTCATAACGTGGTATGGAATATGCTGGCCTGTGCTTATTCGACATCTGAGATGGTTGCTGATGCTCTTTTTGTTCTATCCAAGATGAAAGATTTGAATCTTCAAGTTTCAATAACGACATATAATAGTGTGTTGCTCTGCTTTACTGATGTTTACAATGAAATAAAAGCTTCCCAAAGTGAATACACAAATTCTATCCTTATCAATGGTCTATGCAGACCGATCTTGGTGCGAGAATCTGGAACTTCTGTTGTTTGCTTCAATTCCAGATTGTTAAAAATTCTCTTATTACTCACGCACATTAAGCACAAATCTCACGCATATTAAGCACAATACTCTGACACATTAAGTACAAAACTCGCGCATATTAACATGACGCACATTAAGTACAAATCTCAAGCATATTGAGCATAACACTCACGCACATTAAGTATAAACCTCACGCACATTAATCCACCGCACAACCGCACGGGAAGCAACAAATGCACCTGATCCCTTCCATATATATATATATATATATATATATATATATATATATATATATATATATATATTCTAATTCAGGTGCAGGCGCACCAATAGTCATGCACGTATGCACCAAGATTGCTAGGAAATGCACTCAAAAAATGCACAAATACACTAAAAAATACACGCATCACCAAAACACACAATTATGTATGCATAAAAGCATCACACAATGTTTGAAAATGTACAATTAGGTGTGGGGATGTATGGTGCATTTTTTTTTGGGTGTGTTGTGTGTTTTGGTGGTGCATTTGTGCATTTTATTGTTGTGCATTTTCCTAACACTATTGATGCCTTTTTTAAAACGGTCACAACGACCACACGTTAAGGCGCGACCACATTTGAACATAAGTCTATATATATATATATATATATATATGTGTGTGTGTGTGTGTGTGTGTGTGTGTGTGTGTGTGTCCAAATTATAAACTATACTTCTAATATAATATGAATCCTACAATTATGATTTCTTTTAAATTTTATATATCATTATTTTAAAAAATATATTTCAACATAACTAAGATTTTAATAATAAGTATTAATTTAGATATATATTTTTGTGTGGCATAAAAAATAATAATATTTCATATATTACTCAAATTTTAATAAAAAATTCCTGCGGTTTCTCACCCTTTGCTGAAGTTTGACATTGAATTACTCATCAACTAATAAATACTAAAATACTTATCAACTAACAAATACTTTATTTATAGATAGAAAATTATCAAATGATTTTTTACACACCACTGAGGCTCAAACTCGTAACCTTCCAAATGGAAGTCCAACCCGGATACTATTAGACCACATATTGATTTCATTAATTTGATCATTATAATCATTTTGACTTGATTAATAAAATCCTTTAATTATTTTTTTTTTAGCTATTTTGTTCCGGGAATACAATTAGAAGTTTACTGCTCCTTATCCTCGGTTGGTTGTTGGTTATTGTGTGTTGAGGATTGATCTGATGAAAATTGAAGCAGAGAAATTGGAGAGGAGAGTAGCCCCTAAGGAGAATTGGCAGATCAAAGACTTTGGACCCAAATACATATCTATATTTAATAACCTCCAATACCTCAAAAAAAAAAAAAAAAATGCAAACATTTTTACAGAAGGCAGCATTGCAATTTGCAGCAGCAATATAATAGGTTTGCATTTTAAATGAAATTCCATCCTCAGCTCCATTCCGCTAGGGCTTTAATGTTACAGACTTATGGCTCTCTTTTGTTGAATATTAAAATATATCTCATTTTTCTTTTAATTTCTATCCATACAGATGCTATAGCAAATATATTCTAACTTGTGAATAACCAGGGTCTCTGTTACAAAACATGAAAGTCGGATTTGGGGAGAACGACTTTCAATAATAGAGGTGGTTTTTCTTTCTTAGGTGCAACATTTCTGTATTCACTTCTTCCAGGCGCCCTATTCGTGTTTATGATTCAAACCTGCTATGGAGGGCAAGTTCAGGAGGGAGCAGATCATAGACTTGGACCCAAATACATATCTATATTTAATAACCTTCAATACCTCAAAAAAAAATAAAATGCAAGCATTTTTAAAGGCAGCATTGCAGCAGCAATATAATAGGTTCCATTTTTGCATTTTAAATGAAATTCCATCCTCAGCTCCATTCCCATTACAGCTAGGACTTTAATTTTCCAGAGTAAATTAAGGGTCAGTATGTAGTTTTAAGTCCTCAAGTCATGCAGAATTGAAGAGTCATATATATATAAGTATATAACATGAGTTTGTAATGATGAACATGCAAAATTAAACTCCGATCCATACCATTCATCCCTTTATAGAGTTTCAGTAGAATTAATATATATGATATGCAGGAAGAATTGATTAATTAATAAGAAGAATGATATATTTCATAACAACAATATAAGTGTGGTTGGAAGACAAAAGTTAAAAAGAATTTGAATGAAAACAAAATAAAAGCGAATTGAAAAGGGGAATTGAAAACGATGGAAACAAATATGTTGGTTCCATCATATATATATGAGAAAACATATATGATATGATATGATATTAATTAGGCAGAGTCTGGCTGTATTTTCTCAACTGCGGGTTCGTCATTGTCGTCGTCAGCTGCGAGGTCCAAAGCCAGGGCGGCGGGAGTATCAACAGAGACAGCAGAAGCAGAAGCACTCCTCCTGTGAGCAGCCTTAAGGACATGCTGGTAATTTCCCTTCTCCATGAACAGCTGCGCGAAATGGTGCTTGCAGTAGAGGACTCCATCCAGTGATGCGTAGGTTGCATGTGTGAGAGGACACCCTCCATGAGCACACTTGAAGCATGACCTGTGGAACGCCTCCCCTTCCATGGTCACCTGCATTTATATACTAGCTTAATTAGCTTCTTCAATTCAATTCAGATAAAACTGTTGTCTTTTATATAAAATACAATACTTTTATAAAAAAACTGTTGTCGTTGTGCATTTTTCTTGTAGTGTAATTAAACCCTACGTACCTTCTCCAGAGGATACACAGTTTTGGTGCATGTAGCACATTTGTCTTGAGTTCCAGAGAACATGGCAGACACTTTGGTTGGCCCCTTTGTCTGTCGTTCAGTAACAACATGCATTACATACATACATCCATACAAATTAATTAATTCAATTCCCCCGCCCGGTTTAATTAATTTATATATATATATATATATATTGGTTGATCGATATGATCTTGATTAAAGCAATTAAGGCTGAAACATACCATTGAATTCTCTCTCTCAGGCTTTGCTGCTTAATGTCAATTTAATAAATTAATGATCAGTAATATAATCGCAATTCTTAAAGAAGGAAGGAAAAAAGAGAAGGAATTCTTATAAATTAATTAATTATATATATGAATTGAAGCTAATTAAGGGTGTGTTAGTTTCTGATCTCACTAGTCTGAAAGTTCTTGCTGAAATTCCCAGACTCCTTGAAGAGCTGTTCAAAGTGAGTCTTGCAGTAGAGGACTCCATCCATGGAAGAGTAGTTGCTCATCTGCAAACATTATATATGTAATTTAATTTCTACCTATATATATATATATACAATATTCATCAAAAAATGAATTATATATATTCAAGGAATTGAACGTACCACAAGGGTGCCTTTGCAGTGGCTGCATTTGAAGCAAGATTTATGGAAGGTAGATCCATCAGCAGAGAGCAAATCGACAAAGTAAACAGTCTTGTCACAAGCCTTGCATTTGTCCAAGGTTCCGGTGAATGAAGCCATTTTTTTGTATGTATGTTTTGGTCTGTCTGTCTTTCTCCTCGACCAACGTGATTGAATCTCAATAACGTAACTCTCTTGGAGTTGTTAGTGTGTCTTGTTGTCTGCCCTGGTTATTGAGATTAAGAATAAAATTCTTGTCTGTGGCTTCCTATTATAGGTCTGAACCTGTATGTACGTTCACCTCAGATATTGACCGCTCATTCTTGGACACGTGATTGGAGATCCAAGTATTAGGAACAAATTAAAGAGTGGACATTATTTTCTTGGAATAGAGTGAAAATAGGCCAATACGTACCTTAAACTTTGCATGTATGCTACCCTAGCTGCCATCATATCATATATGGTACGTTGCCCGGCCCGCACTAAAAAATAATACCAAAATCTGAAAAAAAAAGTTTATATTCTTTTTGGTAAAATATATATAAAAAAATTAATAATTAATTTGATAAAATCTTCGTCAAATTAAAAGTCAATGGATATATGATCACAATTGGCTAGCTAGCTGTGAAGTCATTTTCGCCATTGCCTTCTTGTGTTCTTCCATTGCATTTCTTTGGACCTTCCATTGATTATAGAATTGTTCAATCCAGATGGTACAACCTGCAAAAATCAAATGGGCCTGTCCAGTCCATTTGCTGCATGAAACTCTTCCTTCAATTCCATTTTCCTCTTCAAAGTTTGAATCAAGATGTATACAAATATGTATAATATGATCAAGAATATACAAAGTATGAAACAAGAATATGTTTCTTCATGATTTACATCTTTTTATCTTTTCTGTTTAATGATGAATGCGAGTTTGTTTTGTCTAATGAAATGGGCCTGCAGATTGAATATGAGTAGGGGATTCTTGGATCAAAGCAACACAGTACAATGAATTGATCATTCTTGGAGATTCTTGAAAATTAAACCTGATGTCTTTTCTGTGTTCCTTCACAAGATCGAACAGTACAGTGCTTTAAGAACCAAATTTCATGTCTTGAAATTGAAACATTGAAACCCTACAAGGCTACAATCTTTCCCTGTCAGCTCTCTGCAATTTTAGCTGTTAGCTGTATGGTACATGACAGGTGGGGGCTGATGAGGATGAATATAGAATACAAGCAAATATGCATTCTTAATTATAATTTGAACTTTCATTTACGTGGAATACATACTTTAATTAGGAAACTTCCACAGATACCCTTCCAAGAACATTGTTCCATTTTACAACAACAGTAGATCCTACAATGGAAATATACAAAAGCTGACATTCCATGACAGTAACTTTTGCTGTTTTGCAGACTATTTTTGTCATATTATGTGTTGAAGTCTTGAAGATATAGACAAGGTTTTTTTTTTTTTTTTTTTTTTTTTTTTTTTTTTTTTTTTTTTAAAGGAAAGCTCGCAATTGCTAAGTAAATGTGCATTCCAAGGGGGAATCAATTCAAAATGAGGAGGCCATAAACTGTTATGGCAGAGTGTAGTTGTTAAGCTAATTGTCTAACCAATTCAAGTAGGTTATCTCAAGATTTTTTTTGCTGCTTTCCAAAAATCGACAGTTTTTTTTAACCTATAAAAAGAATCAAATCAAGAATTCATATATCAACCAAAGTAAGGTCATTTGAAATTATACCTAGTAAAAAGATGCTAGCACGTTTGAACATTACTTTGTGATAATATATAATAGTTTGATTGACACGAGTAAGTTGTGTCTAAGTGTCTTGGATGATAATAACAATTTATTAATTGATAATACTAATTTGATCATAAATGTCTCCTTTTCAATTTCTATATATGTTTGGTTTTTATTTTTCTAATAAAAATAGTTATCACCATAACTAATTACAGTTAAATGATCGAATATCTATATTTGGTTTTTATTTTTAAAGAAAAATAGTTATAATTACAACTAATCAGACTTGAATGGTTGAACAGTTATAACTTATAACCCAGCTGTTGGACTCAAAATCTATAACAGTGCAAGCAGGGACGGAGCCAGAAAATATGTTGAGGGGGGGCAAAGAAGTAATGATGGATTCAATGGCGGATTCAGAAAATTTTTTTAGTGAGGGAAAAAAAATTAAAATAAAAAAGAATGTTTAAAAAAAATGAAATACTTAAAAAGTATAACAATAAATATTGTTGGATATAGCGAAAAATAAAACATATTAAAATTTTATAAAAATATTTATAACAAAATATGAAACATAATTAATTTGATAAAACAATTCGAATATAAAATGCATTATAAATTACACATTCCATTATTAATATAAAGAAAGTTATATGGAAGTTATATATATCATGCCAAAATTTAATTGTGTTAATCAAAAAAGTGTAGAAGGCTGTGACATTGTCAATACAAAGACTCAAACCCAAGCCATTTCAAAACTCATACATGTTAGCTACCACCTTGTCTATCACAACTTTTGTTTATATAATCTGTTTTATAATACTTATATAAATAATGTACTATATATACATATTATATACAATATAGGGTAGGGTAGGGGTGGAGTGGGGTGGGGTGGGGTGAGGGGGCAGCTGACCCCCCTGCCCCCCCTCTGGCTCCGTCTATGAGTGCAAGTCAAACATGAACAGTGTAGGTCAGCCACTAGAGCTTAGCCAATATAAAAAAATACATGACTCTGAAAACCTACTCCCAATATTGATTAAGCTCGGGTTTGTTTTTCTAATGAAGCAAAATTTAAGATTTGACTAGTTAAACTCTCTTCAATTTTGATTACACCGTTACCTCTTTGGGTCATTTCGTTTGAACTATTGTACTTGACATGTCCTCCTTTGGAGTACTCCCCAACACAAATAATGAATTGTACTCCATTTTTGACCACAGATTTGGCATCCTGTCTCCCAGAACAACATAATTAAGGTTGTTGCTATCAAAGAATGCCGTGAAGGTAAAGCTGAATTGGGAAACGGGGAAGAATATAATACTACCCAAGTTGAAAAGAATTACAATTTTTATGGTTTTTCTGGTCCCAAACTCAAGTATATAAACCGGTTGGATGACCATTCTTTTCACCATCTCATCACTGCAGTAACAGAAGACAGAAACCAATAACAATACCATGAAAACCTCCAGCTTAGGCACATTTCTTCTTGTGTTGCTGGCTTTTGCCTCTCTAACACAGTCTTGCTTAGCTGCTGGCAGGCTGCAGGCCTGCCAGCCAAGCGGCAAGATACGAGGCATAAAGCCGCCTCCCGGGAAATGCAACCAAGAGAACGGTTCAGACTGTTGCAAACAAGGCCAACTGTATACTACTTACAAATGCTCACCCGGTGTGATGGGAGAGACCAGGGCGATTCTCACGCTGAACAGCTTTGAGAAAGGGGGAGATGGTGGCGGGCCATCAGAGTGTGACAACCATTACCACTCTGATGAGAAGCATGTAGTGGCCCTTTCAACTGGATGGTATAGTGGAGGGGACAGATGCCTTAATTTCATCAAGATAAGTGCTAATGGAAGGACTGTGACAGCTATGGTGGTGGATGAGTGTGACTCGACAATGGGGTGTGATGATGAACATGATTATCAGCCACCTTGTCGCAACAACATTGTTGATGCATCTAAATCTGTCTGGGAAGCCTTAGGCTTAGATCAGAATGAAGGACAGCATCAAATCACTTGGACCGACGCCTAAAACTATATATTGTGTTTTCTGCAGTATTTATCTATATGTAAACGTGTGTGTCTGTGTTTGATGATTTCTGATAATAAATAGTAAAAAGTTTTTGGATTTCAAGAATCAAAATATGCCCACAGAATAAATGTTGTCCAAACTAAAGCAAAGAACATAATCAAACCATAAAACACACTAGATTTCTCTGTCAAACTGCAAACCATAACGGTCCTAACTTACAAAGGAGTTGTGATTAGTCCAAGAAGTTGCAGCTGGAGATGTTCGACTACGTTGGCTTCAGCACAATATGTACAGCCCATCTGCCTGCTATCTGACGTTTTTATCCCCGCATTAAATCAATGTCAGTGTGGTAAGCGTGTGAATCCAGTTGGCTTGAACCAGGCCAGACGCCCGTTGAAGAGGCCAGGTTCAGATTCTGGTTCTGCTGAGTATTACTGGGAGATACAGAATTGTCAATAGTCTGGTTATCCAAACGTCCTGCGCCTTCTACACTCTCTACGGCTTTGCTCTTTGCCCTTGAATTAACACATAGAAAGCTCCCTGCTATTACCTGAAGTCATTCAACTTCTCAATTGAGTATATGCCCATTGAACTATTGCAGTAAAGACATTTTCGGTTTTCCTTGTTTTAACTCACAAACCAGTAACTTAATTTTCTTTAAAAGTACTCGATAATATTGAAGGAGCAAAATTCCCAGACTATTAGCTTCTCGAGCATCGCAAAGAGTACCTGAACAGGGCTGGCAGCTATGAGGACTCCCCTTACTATTCCACCTATGACGCGACCATCTGGACTAGCAAGAGCTACGCTTAGACTACCAATCCTGCCCGATGGACCACCACTGTTACTGACCAAATAGGAGCCTGAGAGAGACAGTATTTCAAACCGGCCCTGTAAAGGACAAACAGCAGCAGTCAGAAAGCTTGGTTTCGGGACTCCAAGATTTGAACTAAGACATGAAAAAACAAATTGTATCCTACAACAGAAAGTATCAGAATGCAGTGGCACGCAGTTTGAACTAATTAAAACCTCATATGTAACAGTGCCACCAGAAGTTGATGGTTGATGAAGAGTTACAGTGGAAAGAGCGCCATTTGCTGACAAGATGCACACAGCTCTTGTCCCCTGTTGTGAAAATGACATTATCTTTGTTGTGATGTCCTGCAAAAACTCATAATATCAGGCCAGTTGGCCACTCATTTAGAATGTCTTACTATGCATATATACATGACATACGACAGAGAGACTAACTACAGGCATAGTTGTGGCATTATATTTTTTCAGGAGTTATCCTTTCAGTATCAGGATTAAATCATGCTATTGCCAAGAGACTCGCGCACCATTTGCCCACCCAAAAACAAAGCCTCTTCAAATGTCTTGAACACATTACTCATAAGAAACAACCTGGGATAACTTTCTATGCTAATCAACATTGTCAGTCCAATGTTTTCCATTTACCTTGAAAGTCTCACCTTAAAAATAGACAATTGATACCATGCTTTCCTGGCTCAGGCAATTCCTACCAATATTCAGACCCAACAAATTTTGCACACGAGCATGAGAGTGGCGAGACAAGCATGCACATAAATGCACAAATGTTTAATGCACTTCCTTTGTTTTGGGAGGGGGTGGGGTGTGTGGGGGGGGGGGGGGGTTAATGGTAAGACTTGGCAAGTACATCATGTACCTCCCCTACAGCAATGGTAATGATATGTGGAGTGAAACCAATTCCAGCTGTGTTAGACATCCATCCACCTATCAAAACAAAGAAACATGAGTTTTTTCCCCCCTTATTTTAAGATAAAATAAATATATTTTAAAAAAGAGAGATACATTCTGAATCATAGTCCAAAGAGGATTCTTGGTTTAGGAAACACATAAAATAAAGATCTGAAGTCAATGATCATCCATCCTGAAAAATACTTTTTTTTTTGGAGTTCAGAATTTGTCTATCATAAAACACTCATCCATTCTAGCAATCAAATGCAAACATCAGAAGTTTCAAAAGATTAATATAATGATCAGTATGAAACATCAGACAATGTAGACATGAATGAAATTACCTATGAGTCAAGTAATGGATGAGTATAAGTTTTCTAGTGAACATGTAAAGTTTATGCTCATAGCTTTTCAAATGCAATGCCAAAGCTAACCAGTGAGTGTATTACCAAGAGTAGTTAACTGTTGCTTCCGGCCACTCCCTGGTGGCCTTCCTCGACCCCTCTTTTGAGATGGGGTTAATCTTGCTGCAGGAGATGAAGGAGAGGGAGTCAATGCCAATGAAACCTTGGCATCAACTCCATACTTTCGAGGTCTTCCCCTTTTCCTGCGCACAGGCTCAGTCTGTGGCATAGCAGTTGGTGCACCAGAACTACCTCTAGGTGGCATTGTTGAAGGAGGCTCCATGATTAACGTTTGCCCAATTGAACCACTTCCACTACTTGATTGAAATGGGACATTAACACCAGTTAATGAGGGATGAATGTTCATTGTTCCCTGAAAACCAGCCCCAGACCCAGTCATCCCTCTCTGCATATAATAGGGAGCTGATCCTCCAGGTAAAGTCATAGCTTCCCTTGGATCCATACATTTATTTTCTTCTTCAGAACAACTCAAACAAAATAGACTCCAATTCAAGCAGTGGCCAAACTTCAGAGTACAAGAAAGCGAGAATCTCTACTCTTCTTCAACCACAGAAGGCCTGATCTTCATAACATCCAGGCTAGCACACTTGCAGCTTCGAATAAGATAAACTATGAAGACTCTTGATTCTTGAACACCTAACAGGTGTTTCAAAACGAATATGAGTTCAATAACTCTCTTGCAATCCCTTAGTTGATGAATACCAATCCCAATACTTCAAATGCACATGATAATCAAACCATCAAGCATATTTTATAGTGGATAGATTTCTTTTAACAATGGCAGTGAAATACAAGGAAAATAAACAATAAAGCTTGTTTGAAACAGTATAGGGGGAAGATACAAAAGAACAAACTAAGTATCAAGTGTTTCTTCAATTAACAAGTGAAGATAGACAAAGAACTCTAATTAAGAAACATATAAATTATGTTCAAACTCATAGAAGAGGAATTGTTGAAAAAGCAAGAAGGCAAAGATATTTCACAGCTTACCAAACTTGGTGAGGCATGAGAAGTGACAAGGCTTGAATGTGGAAAAAACACAAAAAAGGAAAATAGGACGGCCAAGTATGGTCCACTCTCATCCAACCATATGCGATCCCAAACGCACCCTTTATCACAAAGCAATCTTCAGAATATCCCCACACAAAAAAACACTCTAGCATAAACAGCTGAACCCCATTAAAGAAATGAATGTCATTGCATGAACAAACAATCATAACACTCAACAATCAAACCCGGAGAGCAAAAACACTTCTTTCCTTATGCATGATAAAGGGGGAACTTAAGCACAAATCTTGTGAATGTAATTGAAATTTACAATGGAAGCAGAATAAGTATGGTTGTGTATCCAGCTATACAGAAACCGAGATCTTTTAGCTAAAGAAAAAAAAAATCTGGAAATGGGTGAAAAGGAGTGCGAGAAAGAAGAGTAAGGTGGTGGGGATGGAACTTGGAAGGGTGAACTTGCAATGAACAGTAGTTAGTAGTAGCACGTCCTTATCTGAATTGAAGTGAGATTTCAAGTGTGGGGCAGAGAGAAGACGAAGTGTTTTCTCTTTCTTTCCTGCAGGGGTAAAGAGCGTTGGTATATGGGATGGGAGAGACATATCTGCAGCGTCATCGTGTGGTACCTGAGCGATGAGTGAATAGCATTTGCTGCAGCCTGCAGCCAACGTTTCGGAGAGTGACAGCCGCAATGACAAAAAAAGGCGCTGAATGGATAATTTTTTTGTAGATGAAGATGAGATGGAAAAGGCAAATACCCACCGCGGTTCGGTTCTCATGGAATCGGAACCGGAACAAGTATTATTTCGGTTCTTATTTAGTTGATGATTTTAACTGTTATAACTTTTTGTTTGTTTGTTATTATTTTTTTTTTAACAAATAGGGTCCCATTCAATTACACATAAATGTACAAATGAATAATTAAAAATTAAATAAAAATAGATTATTGAACGACTTAAAATCATATAATTAATTAAATAAATAATATATTCTAACTCTTCAAGAATAAAATATTTTTCAATGGATATTCAACCCTGACACGAATACCGAACATATGCAAAGAACATATAGAGAGGTATCTCTAGAAAATATTTCCTATCATTGATAACTTAATTTTTGTCATAACAATGTCATCTTATGGCTAAACTAATTTCACAACCTTATAGTGTGGAAGTGTTCCATTTGTAACTCCGGTTAACATCAACTTTCTTTCAATTATATATAAATAATGATCACATAATTTTCGATTGCCACACTTCTATGAAAGTGTTAGATGTATTGAACTAAAGATACCATCATTATTAATATATTCATTGATAATGGTTATTATAAAAACAAATATTGTAATCCTGCCTTTGTCAGCAACTTGTAAGGGTATAAGTAAATTTTCAAATTATAATCTTATTACACTTTTTTAGAGCATCTTAAATGATATGATAAGGAGTAAGGGGGGGTGGGGGGGGGGGTAATAGAATGAGAAAAGCAAAGGGTTGGAGGAGAGAGGAGGAAGTTTCTCCATAGAGAACATGTTCTCCAGAGAAACTATGACACAGCGTGTAATGTGTGGACAACACGCACCAATTGCATGATGCATGTTATCCACGCACCGCTTTCACTACCAGAGGGTGCTAGCGTGACGCATGTTATCCACACACCACCTTTACTACCATATAAGTGAAGTAGATGTCCCCCACCCTCCATTATATCATATATCAACCCCCCCCCCCTCCCCCCTCCTCACCCCCTCAAAAAAAGAGCCACAATCTGAGTACTTTTTTTTTTTTTTTTTTTGGTATTTTGACTATTAAAAGTAAAAATTTTAAATGGTTATCTCCTGCCGGAGTTAAGTCCTTCCACGTTGCTCAATTAACTTGGGTTCCTCTCTCTGCTTATAGTTATTCACTCAATTGCTTAATTTCATTGATTATTATGATATGTTATATATTTTGATGTTCTTAGCTTTTGTTTATCTTCATATATGTCGCGTATACAGAGGGGAACGACGAAGAATTATACACTCAGCATGTGAAAGGACGATTTTACTCCTTCATTTGACGTTCACTTAACGAGCTTGTGACAGAATGACAAATATTGACAAGATTTTAATGGTCAAGTGTCGAGATTGTCTAAATTAAAAGACGAAGACCAATTGTGAAAAATCACTATACTCAAATGATATTTGCTGGAATTAACTATTTTTTAAGTAACTAAAAGAATTCATAATTACTACTGATGGTGTACATGGAGTAAATCTTACTATTGTATAATAGCCTGCAAACAACATAAAAGAGTTATAATGCAATTGAAAGGTTATGTATGACAGTCTAATGGTAATGGCAAAAAGGTGTTCATATTTAAGTGACGACTAATGGAGTATGATTGGATATAATTAAAATGTATTTTCATAATAATATTTTAATCTTTATACTATTATTTTATTTTCATTCCTAATAATTAGAGTACTCCCCATATCAAATAAGTAAATTGAATACCTATTTTATGTCTACAAAATTATAATTCATTCCCTCCATAATTCTTTCCTCCCAACCAAATATAAAAGAGCATTCACAGGCAAGAAGAAAAACCCAGCCAGCGACAGCCGAACCTAAACGGCTAAACCCCGCGTCGACACTGTTCTTCAGGGCGCAAGCTAGGCTTCTGCAAAGCCAGGGGCACAGATGGATTCGGAGTTACCAGTAGAACCGCAATCTCTGAAGAAACTGAGCTTCAAATCTCTGAAGCGCGCTCTCGATATATTCTCTCCTCTCCACGGCCACTTTCCCCCTCCCGATCCGGAAAGGTACTCCTTCAAACTTAATAAAATACACATATTTATTTCATATCTGTAGCCCTAATTGTGATATTCATTCGTTTATTTGTTTATTTTGCTTGCAGCAAGAAGATTCGAATAAGTCATAAGGTCAGTTGATAATAATAAGATAGGAGATTTCTGTTCTAGTGATAATGCTGATATTTATTTATTTATTTTAGTTTAGTTTCTATGGGATTTGTGCAAAATCGTGCTGCATTTTTATGGGTGTGTTTTCACTTGATGATTAAGCTAAATCTTGAGTATGGAGCTATAGTAAGCAAAGCAGCTCATTCTAATTCAAAGGCAGCTGCCCAAAATCAAGCTCAAAAGGCTTCTGCTCCTTCAAATGCCCTTGCTCTTCCAGGTATAGCTCTTCCTGTTGGATTTGGTAGATTTTTAATTGGTATTGCCATGGTACCTGTTTTGAATGTGTTGAATGATATACAAAGAACCTTTACCCTTTCTACATCAACCATTAAGATTTGGCAGGGTTGATCCATTTATCATAGAGAAATTCAAACTGTATTATTAAAATGAGTAAGGTGGTTCTGTTGTTTTAATTGCATTTGGCCTCACCTGGCAGGTCCAGAAAATGCAAGAGACCCACAGAAGGGGGTGCCTAAAAACGAGTTAGCTCTCGGTCCATCTTTGCAACCAAAGAGCGCGTATGTTATACTTTTTTTTTTTTCCTCATTCCTTATGTTTTTTTTTGCCTTTATTTTTGGTATTCCATGTTTGTTCTTTTGTTCTAGTTCCTGAGTCATGTTCTTTGTATTAAATTTCATTGGATATGCCTCCTAAGTCCTAACAAGGTTGCTCTTGTCTCATGTATGCTTTCAATATGAAATGGAAAACAAGTCATACGATTCTAATGATTCACATTCACTTGTCATTTTTTTTTTTTTTTTTTTTTTTTCCATTTACAGATCGGATGGGTTCTCAGGTAGAAGTACTGCAGTTATTCCTTCACAACACACTTCATCAGAAAGGTTGCAGTCATATATCCTTATATTCTCTGCAGTATTTTCCTTATACTAGATGGATTATCAGGCATTAGCCTGATTTGTTGTATTCTGAATTTTCTGTTCAACCTTCTCTCTGAATTTGTTGGTTATTTTTAGTCATTGGTTTAAAATGATATAGGCCATCCTATATAATACTGAAAAAAATACTATTTTATTTGTTCTTCTTTCAGGAATCTTTCTACTGCTGCCATAATGGAAAGAATACCAAGTAAATGGCCACGTCCTGTGTGGCATCCTCCCTGGAAGAATTATAGGGTAAGTAACTTGAGCTCCTTTCTTAGGGAGGTGGAGATCTGCAACTCACTTTCTCCCGTAAGAATGATTAAAAAGTATGATTGTTGCTCATATTCAATAGACTGAGCGGTATAACAACACCGCCCCCCCCCCCCCCCCCTCACACACACACACACACACACACAGTCTTCTTGTGTAACTTATCCTATCATTATTGTGTTATTTTTCTTGGGTTGTCAGCTTTTCATGTATGATTGGCAATTGATGGATGTTTCATGTTTGAATTTAATTTGCTTAAATTATATTCTTGGTTGCATCTGTCCTTGTGAAAATAGGTAATGCAGTGTATTCTTTGTTCTGATATTTCTATTTATTTTAATGTATAGGTGATCAGTGGGCATTTGGGTTGGGTGCGGTCTGTTGCAGTGGACCACAGTAATTCATGGTTTTGTACAGGGTCAGCTGATCGGACTATCAAGGTAGGAAACTCAAAATAATCTTTTTGGTATGGGCCAGGCAGGGGCTGGATTGGACATGCTAACAAAAAATTTATTTGGTTCCTCTATTGTGGTACAAGATTTGGGATTTAGCAACTGGAACGCTAAAGCTGACTCTTACTGGCCATATTGAACAAATAAGAGGTTTGTTTTACAAATTTTGTTGTATTATGGAATATTTGTTGTTGATGCTTTTTTTTTTTTGGGTGCTAACTGGACATGGCAAAAATAAGAACAGAAAATTCCAGCAGAGTATTAACAACTATCACTCTTTATAGGCCTTGCTGTTAGCAATAAGCATACCTACATGTTCTCTGCCGGTGATGATAAACAAGTAAAATGCTGGGACCTAGAACAAAACAAGGTTGGTTAAGATCTAAGAAATGAATCAAGCCATTCTGGTATAAATCATGGTCAAGAATGTGCTTACATAATAGTCACACTTTTTGTGTCATAGGTGATTCGGTCTTATCATGGACATTTAAGTGGTGTTTATTGCTTAGCTCTTCATCCCACCATTGATGTCCTGCTCACTGGGGGTCGTGATTCTGTCTGTAGGGTATGTTGTCTCTTAAAAGAATGCCATCCAGTATTCTAACTTTTGCTATATTTGAGCCACTTGAATTTCTATAAATTTGGTCATAAAATTCTGTATTGCTTATTTTGATGATTTTTCAGGTCTGGGACATCAGAAGCAAGATGCAAATACATGCTTTGTCGGGGCATGAGAACACTGTCTGCTCTGTTTTTACTCGACCAATGGTAAGCTTTTTTTCTCATCTATTTTTTTTTTTTATTGAGGCATTTAATTATGCTTAGTCACATTTAAGGCTTGAGACTAGGTCAGATAATTGTATAATTATTGCCATGCTTTCACTTTTTCTAATTGGTTTATCTGTGGGCTAACATTAATTAATCCAACATTTTAATTATGCCTTTTCAGGATCCTCAGGTCATCACTGGTTCACATGATTCAACGATAAAATTCTGGGACCTAAGATATGGTATTATTTTATGGATATTGACACCGTCTAACTTTCTAACTCACTTTTATGGTTACTGGTGATGATTGTGTGTGCCTGGCAGGTAAGACTATGGCAACACTCACACACCACAAGAAATCTGTGAGGGCGATGGCTTTGCATCCAAAGGAGTATGTATATGCACTTTTTTTTTCATTAGCCTTTCAACAAACTTTCTCTTTAGTTCCTCATTTCTGGGCTCACATATGACTGATATCCATTTCTTTGCTCTAGGGATGCTTTTGCGTCTGCCTCCGCTGACAACATAAAAAAATTCAACCTCCCCAAAGGAGAATTTTTTCACAACATGCTGTAAGATTTGTGGAATACCCTAATTTTCATCTATGTGGTATTTTGAAGCATTATTGTTTTCTAATACGGCATTATCTTGTTACAGTTCTCAGCAGAAAACAATCATTAATGCAATGGCTGTTAATGACGAGGGTGTTATGGCTACAGGAGGTAAGAATTTTGAACTTTGCATTTGAGTTTCATGATGTTAAATTTCCAACAGAGGGGGAAGGGGTTGTTCAACTCTGAGTACTGTCCAATTTCTATTCTTTGTGGTGAAATTCATTCCTTCAATTTCTGTTTCTTTTACTGTACGAAGGTGATAATGGAAGCTTGTGGTTCTGGGATTGGAGGAGTGGCCACAATTTCCAGCAATCACAAACTATTGTTCAACCTGGTATGCCCCCTACCCTAGGCTCTGACCAAGTCCATTAATGTCTATTAATGTGTATATATATATATATATATATATATATAATTTTATTTAAATACAGAAAATACTATATTGATTTGCTGTATCTTGTGACAGGGTCATTGGAAAGCGAAGCTGGCATCTATGCGCTCACCTATGATGTAACTGGTACAAGGCTTATTAGTTGTGAGGCTGACAAGACCATAAAGATGTGGAAAGAGGATGATAATGCCGCCCCAGAAACTCACCCTCTTAATTTTAAGCCCCCAAGAGATATCCGCCGCTTCTGATGACGTTCTGTTATGCTTCCTTCCCTTCAGCGTTCTCTGATTGTTGGCCATATATATTTCAGCTGCTTTTTGACTGTAGTTGCACTTGTGTTAACAATATACTCCACAGAAAAGCACAATCCAAAACATTGTATTCGTAGCTTTTTATTATGTGTATTTGAAAGAATAGTTCTCTTACCAGTATAAGAGGATGGTTGAAAATCCATTTATTTTGTTCTACAATCTACAAGTCTTGAATGTGAGATTACTCTTATAAGTTATAAAAGAAGGAAAACTTGTCTGGCGTAGCACTTAGCCAAGAACTTGATCCATGGCATTCAACAATCTTATGAGCATCAGAATTTGAACACATTCTAGTTTTAGATAGATGAACAAAAAGTCTTACCCAATAGGGCCCAACCGGGTTCGAACCGGTGACCTATTGATCTGCAGTCAATTGCTCTACCACTGAGCTATGGACCCTTGTTGAGCAATAGAATTTCAGGATTTTTAGAAATTGTATGTGGTACTCAATAGAGTAAATGAACAAAACTTCTTCACTAATTGTAGGGCCCAACCGGGTTCGAACCGGTGACCTATTGATCTGCAGTCAATTGCTCTACCACTGAGCTATGGACCCTCGTTGAGCAATAGAATTTCAGGATTTGAATAAATTGATTATGTTTTACTCAATAGAGTAAATGAACAAAACAGAACAAAAATTTCTTCACTAATCTAGGGCCCAACCGGGTTCGAACCGGTGACCTATTGATCTGCAGTCAATTGCTCTACCACTGAGCTATGGACCCTCGTTGAACAATAGAGTTTCAGGATTTGAAGAAATTGTATGTTTGACTCAAAACAGAGTAAATGAACAAAAACTTCTTCCAATTGTAGGGCCCAACCGGGTTCGAACCGATGACCTATTGATCTGCAGTCAATTGCTCTACCACTGAGCTATGGACCCTAGTTAATTTTTTTGATCAGAAACGAAATTGGATCGAGATCGTTAATCCTAAATAGTACTTCATACCTTATTTAGAAGTCGGAAACGGTTCCAGACTTCCAGTGCATTCTTCTTCAAGCAGAAAATTTCAAATAGAAGGAAATGATGGACCCCAAAACTGACAAGCTGGTGAGAAGGACGACTATGGTGGCCACTGCTGTTGCTTCTTATTTCCTTCTCACTGCTGATTATGGCCCCGAACCCAACGCCCTCGACCCTGTAAGTTTCCTTTTTTTGTTAAAAAAAAGTTCATAAATATAAATAATTAGTAATTCTTTACTTACGAAGTATTTAGGGTTTATTTGATGTCTTTGACGTGTGTTTGTTCAACTGTGTTTTGATGTTTGCTTGAATTTAATATAGCGAACTGTTTGGTTAATTGCTTATTTCGATTGTATGTGGAATTTTGCAAATAGGTATTGTTAGGACTGAATTGTGCCTTTTCAGTGTATGTTTTCGTTCCGGGATTTAAATTGGTGTTGGTGGAAGATTTGCTAGTTATAGAGATCCCCTCATTGCATTGCACTTTGTGAGTTATATATATAAAATCAGTTTTTTTGAAGTTATGTTAGCCCGATGAATCTCTGTTTGCAATAATTAGCTTTAAGTAGGCTCTTACAGTAGTAACTATATCTGATCTGTTTGTTGGAACCATGCTGAAGTACGAGAAGGGTTCATGATTTGCTACCTTGGCTGTCACAGTAATCAGAACATACGAATCTTGGAGGCAGCCTTTGTGGATCAAAGAGTTACTTGGTTGGCTTGCAGTGTATTGGAGCTTATTCATCTGGAAAACATAAGCTGGGCAAAAAGCTCACTTTCAAGAATCTTCATAATTGAAAGTTTTCGGGGAAAATACTCTTTTTAATAAGCTCTAGCTTGCCCCAGCAAGCAGCCAAGCACTAACTGTCTTATTTGCTTTCTGGTTCTTGCCAAAAGAATTCTGCTCAGTTATTTGCATTGATTGATAATATGTTAGAGAAAATTAGGTTGCATTGCCAGTAACTGATATGAACTAGTAACTCCTGCTAAATTCAATTTGCTTAGGACGTGCTGAATTTTTTTTGAATCAGCCCTTGTTCTTTTCTTACTAGCTCTTGATGCCTCCCATACTAAAGTTAAACATCAGTGTTCAGAAGGGATCTTGTTAGTTTCAAAATCGGACTTTCCTTGCTTAATTAGATGGCCTTGACCTTCATCTTTGAATTATCACATGTTTTAATTTGTCGGGATGTCTTTAGAAGTGAGATCGTAATTTCATTTTTACTGAAAGGGGGTTCCTTGAAGCGTTTCGAAGAAGTTAAAGCTGTTGGATTGTACACCCATTGTTTTAGCTGCTGTGTGCTGGTTGAACATGAATTCTTGTGGCTGGCCTACTTTAGGAGCACTTTCTACATTCTAGTGAGATAAACCAACTTGTCCTCTCACTTTTCTGCTCTCTTCTTTTACCATGCTTCATCTAGCAAACGATTAGGCAGGAAAAAACATAAAACAAGATTAAGGACACCAGTCTAGTTACTAACATTGGACTTGTGAATGTCTTGTGACTTGCCAATCATACTCATCTTTAAAGGAAGTTTCCATGTATATTTGCCCATGTTTTTGTGCTGTTTCAACATCCCTCACACTTGAATTGCCCCGTCCTGATATTATTCTCTTTTTGCAATGGCAGATTAAAAACGCTATACTTTCAGCAGAACGATCTGTAAAGGAGTTTATCTTTGGACCAAAGAAGAGTGTTGAGGAAAACGAGATTGAGAAAGCCCCAACTGGTGTGGAGAAACACTGAAAGCAGCCTTTTGTTAACTACTACCTTTGCTTATAAAAGAATTTTGTTTGTAGGATTTGCTTATAAAGTTACAACTTTATACTCCGTGACAAAGTTTTGCAGTTGCACACTTTTACTTTAGCTGCTGGAACATAGAGTAGGATGAAGGATGATGCATTTTAGAAACCAAAGAGGGCTTTGACACTCTTTAAAACTTGATACTATAAGACTAATTTAAATTTGGTCATGTGTGTATAGTATAAGACTAATTCGAATTGGTCATGCCTGTAAAGTGGGTATACATATACGAATGGATTCTCTATTTTCAGTTTACCAATTACCCATATTATTGGATTTGAAGTAATTAAATTAAAGTTGAGAAAAGAAATTAAAAATATTGTACATATTTTTAACGTCTCAAATATTATTTGAAGCAAATATTTTTGATTCACTATTAGATATAAATAATTAAATTTGATTACTTTGATTTGAGTTGAATCTGGCAATCGTAATTCTTGTCAGACAAGAATGAGTAGATACTCCGTAATTTTAAGAAGCGGACCACAATACATTTCAAATTTTCAAACGTTTCCTTTTTTCGTTTTTGCATCCTCCGCCCTCTCTTGTCTGCGCAGGCGCTCCTCTCTCTCTCTCTCTCTTCTCCCGTACAGACGCGGTGGCTCCGAGAGTTATCGGGCGAGTCGAGGTGCAGATGTCGGGTCAAACATTGCCCGAAACTCAAGGGTCGCAAGACGAGGAGGAGATGGAAGAGGAAGAGCTGGGGAATCTAGAGGAAGAGGTTACCCAAATGGCTGAGAAAGTAGCAGAGTACCGGGCCACGCTTCCGGATCAGCTCAAGACCACTCTAGCGTCTCTTCTTGCTGCTCAGCGACCTGCACTCCAGATGCATTTCGATGTCGCTTCCCTACCTCAACCCGCCCCTGCCTCTGGTACTTTACTAGGGTTTCCTCATTTCATTTCAATGCGTCTTAAAATTTCAGATATTTCTGCGTTTTTTCATAAATTTGCTATTGGCGTGTAATTTTTGCATTCTCCTCTCACTTTTAGCTGGAAATACTTGCCTAGTATAGTAACTATGGAGTGAGATTTCTAGCTAATTACATGGTATTGACTGTTGATCTGTTGCTAGAAATTGCTAGTATTTGTTAAGTGAGTGCATGACTGCATGCGTGGTTTCTTTGGTACTGAAATATTGATAATTACAGTTCAAGCCAAAGGAGTAAAATTGGTAAAGTTGTGGTTGTTTGCACTTGATAGCACAGTTCTAGTGTCTGAAACAATGCCGGAGTAAAAAATGATTTCATTAATAAACAACAGTAGCTATTGATGGAAGCTGGAATCTTAATCTTGAATTTCTAGTTTCCAAATCTGCCATAGTAAAAAACATTGATTTCTGGATGTTTGTATTTGGGGTCATAATGTTTGTGATTGTTGGTGTTCTATGTGTTCATATTGATTTCACCCTGGCTTACAATGGTCTCCATCTAACAATGATGCCATAGTAAAAAGCGTTGAATTCTAGATGTGTGTAAGCATTTTGGGGTCATAATGTGTGTGTGTGTGTTTTTTGGTGCCTTTGGGTTCATATTGTTTTCATCTTTGGCTTTCAATGGCCTCCATTGGACTTCTGCATATATTCATCGTCTCTTCATTGTGGACAGATTTAGGACCTGTCGAATCTCAAACTTTGGGTTCCTTAACAGAGGAAGAGCAGGAAGAGACGGAGAAAGTACAACTCCTGAAACAGAAGATTTTGAGCAATGCGTCTGCCATACCAATTGTCTTAAAGAGGGTGAAGGAATGTATGTCAAGGATTCATAAATTAGAGTCACACAACGGATTTATCCATCCCGCTTTTAAACGAAAAAGGACCAGCTGATGGTTTTGTACCAGATTTGCTTTCTTGTATGTTATTGTGCTAGAGTAGCTACATACCTTTTGACCTCTAAGGTAGCAGCCATTAGAGAAAGGAATGGCTGGTCTAAGTTGCACGTCAACTGGTGAGTTAAGGGTCATTGTTGTAATTACATAGAAACACCTGTTTGATATCCGTATGTATTATAACCAATTATTCATAACAATAGGGATTAGCAGATGACAATTTTCTGAAAAATTGTAAGCTTCGCTGTTGAGGTTATGATATTTTGTGGTGCTATCTGCAGCACCACTTTTGTTTATTGAATCTTGATTATGTAAAGAGCAATATGATTTGTGTACTTTTTCAATCAAAACCTTAAAAACTTCTCAACTTGAAATTTGTAAGAATTTGTTGTCATCTAAGAATTCAGCCAGTATGTTCATAAATACAGAATTCAGAACATGATATTACAATCATCTTTAAGTACACTTCTTCATGCATTATCTCACAGAATGCAATCTGTGCAGAGATGAATTATATGGCAATAGCTTTACAATCTAATATTACATCATCAGAAGTAGTTTTTGGAACAGAACTACTCACCAATACACCATCCATGTTCCATGCATTTTCAACATCAAATACGACTGTGCTAAGCCCCTTTCCGATAATAAAGATCTTTTTTCCGATTGCTGCAACCCTACATGGAGGCTTTGTCAATAGAGGTGACAATCTCCCCATCGCAACCCATTCCCTGCTATCCTTCTGCCACACCATCAGTCTGGTTCCTGAAGTTTGGTCCAACACAAAAAGAGTTCCATCTATAACAACTGCTGGGCCCCGCCAACCCAACACCAAGTCAGAATCTGCTTGTTGCCACTCTCCGGTTGATGGTTCAAAGACGACAGCAGACACAAGAGAAGATGCGGCTTGATAACCAGAGCGAAAGTAAATTTTCCCATCCAAAACAAATGAATCTTCAATATCAGGAAGAATGCTGGGGTGAACATGAGAGCTCCAGCAACTCGTTTGGGGGTCATAAGTGTCCCAGGAATGTTGGTTACTTGATTGCAATCCTAGTCCACCTATTGCATAGAGTTTTCCATCCAAGGTTTCACAAGCAAAGTAGCACCTGAATTACAGTAGAACATTATAATCTCCTTATATCATGATGCTTGTGGTGCTACGAAATGAATGACAAGCTACGTAAATCTATTGGATAATTCATTCCTCTTGCGATAAAGAACTATGACGTGCTAACTAGTAACTAGAAAATGCACCTATACAATAATGGATAATATTCGACTTCCAAAGGTGCAAAGTGAGCAAGATCCAAAGAAATATGAATAGAAATCCCCTCAAGTTCAGGAGCTGCATATAGTTAACAACATTACCTTGCAGTTGACAAGGGAGCGGCTTCATTCCAAGTATTTAAAGCAGCATCATAAACATATACTTCATCAGTAGCATCTTCAATCCAGCCACAGCCACCTAACAGGTATAGTTTCTTCCCCAACACTTCAAAGCCCATGCCTTTTCTCTTCAAGCAGCGAGGCGGAAGTCCTTGAATACACTTCCACCCCCTTTTTAAATAATTGGGGTCCAAGATATAACAACAGAGCTGTTCAGACTTGTCTCTGCAGAGGGCATATATCCAAGCCTCCTCCAGAGAATTCTTTTTTCGGTAAGAGTACCACTCCTCACCACACATGAGGTCTCTCCATTTCTTTGACACGCATTTGAGAACTCCATGATACTTCCTTGGCACCCTTGCCAAGCAGAAAAGAGCAATGTCATTGGGAAGCCCGGGAATCAGGGGCAATTGCTCCAAGAGTTCACTTCCCATAACTTCCACTAAATTACAAATTATAGAGTTTTTACTATGAGAGGGCAGTCAGATCACAACTCACAGATTCTACGCTTGTGCTTCTCAACTGCAAATGGGATAGAGACAAGTCATAAGCTAAGTAAATATGTATATGATAACATTAAAGGAAACCCCAAAATTCAATTCTTCTAGCAACCAAGAACCATGAACTAAAATGGACTTATCACATCAATATTATCCACAAAATTACTTTTCAAACAGAAAGCAGATGCGAAAGCCAGAAATTTTACCCAAAAGATGAGCAAGAAAAATTTCTTTTAACATCAGATTCGGCAATTAAACTCTTCAGCGTGATGATTACGAGTATGTCGCTTAAATCAACCGGAAAATTTGCACCACATTAAAATTAATGTTAAATGCGCAATTCATCTTAGCTTAGGTAATTCCAGATCCAACAAACAGCTGCACGGAGTAATAAGCTAGCAAAAGCTTCATCTTTAATAAACTGAAGTCTAAAATCCAAAACAAAAATACCTACGAATTTGCAAATTGAATGGAATACTGAATCTCATTTTAGGTAAAGACGACGAGAGATCAAGTGAATGTGAATTAAGGAACTGGGAAATTTGCTTATTGTCCTCATGAATGGAAATAACGAAAAACAAATTGCATATTGTGGTCGTCGAAACTGACCTTTTGAAAGAGTTGATATGCAGCTTTGGGTTGCTGATCGGCAACGGGAAGGTATAAGGAGAAACTTTCGGAACAAAGAAAGAACTATACATATATCGGTGGGAACATGGGATGGACTACCAAACAGGCCTTTGTATGGTTGGGTTCCATTTTACATTTGTTAACTCTGGAGAGGTGGAAATGGTAAATAGGAGCAGCATTAGGTTGGCAAATAAATTAGATGTGGGGCTCGATGAGAATTCTTAAATCTATACTATTTGTATCACATCATAATCACAGCTAGATGTTATCAAGATTCAAGGTATCATTCAATTGTTCTATTAATCCAACATAATTTTGTAAGGGTAACTCTATCTGTGAATTTTAAAGGATTTTTTCAGGAAAAAAAAATAAAAATTGAGTGAGATTTTGAACAAATAGGGAATGAAGTTTTAGGGATATTTTTCTCCTACAAATGTAATTTTTTGTGAGATCTATTGTTTGAAAAAATTGAGAAAAATATTCAATTTGCGTGTACCATTGTGTCGTGCCAACTAATTGTGTAAAAAGTTTTTTTTTCCACTCTTTATGTAAAAATCACTTAAAAATCTGAGTAATACTACATGAACTCTCATTTCATACTTTATACTATTTGGCATGCTTTGATTGCCTAATAAAAAGGGTTGGGCCATGATTTTTATACATTATTTTTTCTTCATCCAATCAAAATTAAGCATTTGGTGGGAGTAAAAATTAGGAGTGTAATTTGGGGGGTAGATGTAACATTTTTTAAAAAAAACCCAACTAATGTTGTTGCTTTAAGTTTTGTTTTACTAACAACTGTATGGTGTAGGATTCGTAGTACAAGGGGCTACTATGAGTAGTTTTCGACGTGCACAAACTCAGTAGAATTTGTAATACAATGGACTACCTTGAATAGTTCTCGACGTGCACCAACTCATGCTTAAATCAACTGTCATCTTGATTACCCACGCAATATAGCTAACCAAGTGATTCACAATTGTTCTTTTTGGATGGCTACTAGATAACTAAAATGATTGACTATGAATCCTAATTAATCTTTTTATTTTATACTCCAAGACTATGTATCATAAATCTTTTTTATTTTAGTTGAAATTCACCTATTTTTAAATCTACTAAACTAGCTTACTAGTTACTACCCATCCATTGTGCTAAATTTTGAATTGAGTAGAATGGGTCTATAACGATTTAAGAGTGGATAAACTAAAGTAAATTTAGAAAGTTCTAAATTGGGATTAAAGTGCAATGGAACTTTAAAGGGTCAAAATAAGATTTATAAAATGATAGGGGTTTGTATGCTACTCCTAATAAATGAAGGGGCAAATGGAATTGTTTTAGGTCCCATACTCTTTATGCAATAGTGGTATGACCCCAAAGCGTAATACTGTTTTCCTCAAAAGCCCTAATCCTGAAACCCTTCCCAGAACCCCACTGAGGCACTCACAATCACAGCTAGAACCCTAGAGACGTCTCTGCTACAGATTCAGCGAAAATGTCGATGTCGAAGAGTTCGAAGATGCTCCAATACATCAATTATCGGATGCGGGTCACGATCCAGGATGGTCGTCAGCTGGTTGGCAAGTTCATGGCGTTTGACCGCCACATGAACCTCGTTCTCGGCGACTGCGAGGAGTTCCGGAAGCTTCCGCCGACGAAAGGCTCGAAAGAAGAGCGCGAAGACCGCCGCACTCTTGGTCTCCTGCTCCTCCGCGGCGAAGAGGTCATCTCCATGACTGTTGAAGGCCCTCCTCCTCCCGATGAGTCCCGTGTTAAGGCTACTTCCGCTGCGAATGCTGTTCCGGGACCCGGTATGGGTCGTGCCGCTGGCAGAGGTGTTCCCACTGGACCAATGGTTCAGGCGCAGCCTGGACTTGCTGGCCCAGTTCGTGGCGTTGGTGGGCCTGCTCCCGGAATGATGCAGCCTCAGATATCACGGCCTCCTGTGCCTCAGGTTTCAGCTCCGCCGATCAATTACCCGCCTCAGCAGCCGCCTATGGTGAGACCACCAGGCGGAGGGCCACCAATGGCGCCTCCGCCGCAGGCCATGATGGGTAGACCTGGTGGGCCGCCAATGCCCCCTCCACAGTTCCGACCGGGTGCTCCTCCTCAACCTGGGCCATTCCCTCCCCAGTTTGGACAGCGGCCTATGATGCCTCCACCTCCGATGATGAGGGGTCCACCTCCTCCTGGTGCTCCTCCAAGACCAGGTATGCCTGGAGCCCCGCCCTCACAACCTCCTCGCCCTGGTATGCCACCTCCACCCCCAGGTGGGCAGGTTCCTGTCTATGGACCACCTCGTCCTGGAATGCCACCTCCCCAGAATCAGCAGTAATATACTCAGTATGTACCATCAATCGAGCCATTTTAGTAGATGTTTGATCAAAGCCTTAGTGTAATCAATCTTATTAAGTAACTGTTGGATTTTAGTGAGCCTCTCTGTAGTGGTATGCATATCTCCTATGTCGAATTGGTTCAAGGTTCCTTTTTGGATTTGAGTTTACCTTTATATGAGACTTGTTTTTAAATTTCTGATAATCTTTCCTTCTTGTCTTTCAAGACCTCTTTAAGGAGAATGATAGTAATTTTAAAATCTCAAGTTTAGGCTCAGATGCACTGGTAGCACAGGCCCTTCCCAGACAATTGATGGACTTTCATTTCCCTCACCCCTATGCCCATGCTAACTATATATAAGGGAATATATAAACACAGACAGCTATAATATGAATTGAAAATGAATTTTTTCTGATCAGCAGGATATAGTGATGGGGTAAATAATAACTAGTGCTGCCTGAGCATGCAGTTCATTCAGGTTGAATAGTAGGGATGTTTCACTGTTGCATGAAACTTTCTTCAGTCATACATGATATATTTTTTGCTAATAGCCTAATACAGTATGTTATTGATCAGTCAAAACCTGCTAATATATTGACAGAATTCAACGGAACTTAATCTTGTTTAGGAGATGTATGTGCACCATTTTAACATGGAATTAGTTTATTATACATCCTCTTGCAAGAGAAAATAGGTGCTTTTTCTCATCTCCCCTACTCCTTGTATTATGTGTTATCTGCATTTTGTATTGTAGATTTTGTGCAACTGAATGTTGCATATAGGTTGATGTTGAAACTCTGTTTTGCTGGTGGTTGTTTGCACCACCTGCAATCGCACATTTATATACAGGCCCAGGATTAGTTAACGAAGAATGTAATATTGTCTTACTATTGGATTATGCTTTGAGTGTGTAGTTGAAACTTGGGAATACTATGTTCTCTGCCCTTTTGGTAGTGTGCTGGCTTTTGAGGATATATGATTATAATTAGACATTTCATTGAATGATAAAGGGCGCTCCTTGCCCAGGCTGTTGGCCCTGTCACTTTTGCAGATGCAGTAGATAGTATGAACTGAACTAATGAAACTGAGCTAAGAGCATATGAACATGGTAGGGAAACAAGTTCTTAATATATGAAATGATATGAATCCAATCATGCATCGGCTTTGCCTCCTGCTGGAATTTCACTACTGTCGCAACAGACAGATTTAAGCCAACTGATATTTGGATTGATATTCAAACACTCATCTTGCACATTGAGAGTTTCTTTGCAACACTCATCACTGTATGTACAAGTCCATGAATATACATGTTCTACTGATTCATGCTGGCTCTTGCTTGTGCATGTTTCCAACACTTTCTCCACTGTAGGGCAGTTGTCTGCACTTTTACTCGGAGGTGGTGGTGGTATGGTTGGATTCTCGTGCACAGGCGGAGTTAGGGTTGGGTCCTCTTTCACGTCATGTGGTGTTGGAGTTAGGGTTGAATTCTCTTGCACATCATGTGGTGTTGGGTTCTCGTGTGCCTGTGGTGGTGTTGGGTTCTCATGTGCTGAATTCTCTTGCACATCATGTGGTGTTGGGTTCTCGTGTGCCTGTGGTGGTGTTGGGTTCTCATGTGCTGCCGCTGGCCATGGGGGTATGTATTGTTCACAGGTATAGCGGCAATGGTACAGTGGTGGAAGATTGATGTTCCTCCACTGAGTTAGTATGTCCTGTACTCTGTTTCTAACAATATCAGCAATCCTTGGGTCAAAATTGTCATAGAAATCCTCTGGCGGGAGCCAAGGAGAATTGTAGATTGGAGGGGGTGGTGGTGGGAATTCATATGGATTCCATGCAGATGAATAAGATGTGTTGTTGGTGGGGCTTGAAGTATTGTCAGCTGAAGGTAGGCTATGTGAGGCGGAGGAGTGAAGGATAAGAACCAGACTTACAATTAAACCTTCGATCATATTCAAATGTAGGTACGGAATGCAATGAATGAACAAAGTGTGGTGATGGGGTGTATGCACTATGCCGTGTGCTCTTATAGTGAGAATGTAATATGGGTTTTGTTACGCCTTGGTAAGGTTAGACATCATATCATGCCCTTTGCATGCTTATTCTCATTACATAATAACCGGAAACATACACTTTTTTCCCTTCTATTTATCCGAAACCATATTTAATCTACTTGTACAAATGTCAAATACTTACAAGAAGGTCGTGTAACTCAACTTCATAGCATTTTGTCCCAGGCTAGGCTTTCATCAAAGCTATGGTGTGATGGGGTTAAGGTTTTTACTTTACAGATGTAACAAGTCGCAGCCTGTAAAGTAAAGTATATTGGGAAGTTTGGTATGGCCTGGATGATTGAGAATTTGAGATGGGCCAGAAGGAACATGCATGGCTCAGTAACAATTGAGTGCATACATCATTTGAATTGAAGCGCCTATTCACTTGTCACACATTTATATTTGCCATTTACAAATTGAAGAGCTAGGCCAAACAAATTAACCTTTCAGAATATAATGAAATTTACACTTGTTATTTTATATCCATCATTAACCTTATAGATAATAATATAATAAAGATTATTGATAGTAATGAATAAGAGTAATTTGATTTATTATTATTGTGCATTTACAAGAGCACAATCCATGATGAGTCATCAACATTACTGAAAAAGAAAAAGGAAAACCTGAAAGGAATAGGGTACATCCCATGATGATGACGGCACATCCTCCTGTCTTTTTTCATTTCCTCTCTTTCCAGAAAATTCTCTTTACCTCTAACCTACTCCCTCTCAATTACCCAACAACAATAACTGCCAAAATACTTGCTTAACATTTCAACTTCATTGCTTTGCTTTTATTACCTTCCTTTTCTATTTTACTCCACTTATCTTTCATTCTTGTCTTGTTTTGTCTACTACCATAATTTACACACAACAAAAATTTTAAAACATTTACAAAATAGCTTATACCTGTTTAATATTCAATTATGTTAAGTGTAATGAACCTTTATTAGTTGTTAAAAAGGAAGAAATTGAGCAACTGAGTATAATTACGTACTGTTCAAGCTAAGACTTAATTCGATTATTAGTTTTGGGAGAAGATTTGTACGTCATGTAGATGATTATTACTAGGGGGGTTAAATTGTTTACATCAGAAAAACACAAGCCAAGGGGGTAAAGGGTAATTTCGAAAGCTTTCTTGAGCCAGCCATGCCATGGTTTCTCTGTATAAAGGCATCATCTTGGCACCACTTTCACCACAACTAAACAAAGCAAATTAGTTTACAGATCAGAGATCTTCAGAGAGAATGGAAGGGAAAGAGGAGGATGTGATGGTGGGAGCAAACAAGTTCTCTGAGAGGATGCCATTGGGAACCTCAGCACAGGGAAAGGACTACAAGGAGGCACCACCAGCACCACTGTTTGAGGCTGGGGAGCTGCACTCATGGTCTTTCTGGAGGGCTGGCATTGCAGAGTTCATAGCCACTTTCTTGTTCCTCTACATCACTGTCTTGACTGTCATGGGTTACTCTAGGTCTAAAAGCAAGTGCAACACTGTTGGTGTTCAGGGCATTGCTTGGGCTTTTGGGGGTATGATCTTTGCACTCGTTTATTGCACTGCAGGCATCTCAGGTACCTCTCTCTCTCTCATCTCAAGATCGATCTCAATAATGTTAAAGATTGGCAAGCAACTTTAATATATTTGTGGAATTGTGGTTTAATTGGATGAATATTGATCAGGTGGACACATAAACCCTGCAGTAACATTTGGTCTGTTTCTGGCAAGGAAATTGTCCCTAACAAGGGCAATTTTCTATATTGTGATGCAATGCCTAGGAGCCATCTGTGGCGCAGGGGTGGTGAAGGGCTTCCAGCCATCGCTGTATGTGAGTAATGGCGGAGGGGCCAACGTGGTGGCTCATGGCTACACCAAGGGTGATGGGCTTGGTGCCGAGATCGTTGGAACCTTCATCCTTGTCTATGTCGTGTTCTCTGCAACTGATGCCAAGAGAAATGCCCGAGACTCCCATGTCCCTGTAAGTACTATATCTATCTATCTAATTAACTCCATCAAGCTAATTAAGCTAAGGTTGAATTGCATTATAATATTGCATCAATATAATCCTGCAGATATTGGCTCCTCTCCCAATTGGGTTTGCGGTTTTCTTGGTTCACTTGGCCACCATCCCCATCACAGGGACTGGCATCAATCCTGCACGTAGCCTTGGCGCTGCCATTATCTACAACAAAGATCACGCTTGGGATGACCAGGTGATCCATCCATCTGAATTCTGAATTCTGATGATGAGTAACATACATTATTTCTTTAATTTGTTTTCCCATGATTTAATGCATGGCTGAGGATCACATTTCTTGCTCTGATCTCTATCTTGGTTGTTTTGACAGTGGATATTCTGGGTCGGACCATTCATCGGAGCTGCACTGGCCGCCCTTTACCATCAAGTTGTCATCAGAGCCATCCCATTCAAGACTGGAAACTAACTGAACAACCATCTTCCTTAATTAGCTTGCTTGCACTGTACTACTTTTCATTCTATCTATCTATACTTTCTACTGTCTAATTTTATCCTTGTGGTTTGATATTGGTTATCAATGAATGGAATGGAATGGAAGCTAGGAAGATGTTGATTATATTGTGTATAAAGCTACTCTCTAAACTATTGGGCTGCTAAACAACTTGATTGCTGTTATATATATTGGATGGGCACATCAACTTACTACTTTGGTACTAAGATTATGTAATTCGAAGATTTGAGTTATCCATCTTGGATCAGATATTAATAGAGTTTAGTATCATTTTGGTTAATTATAGTGACATTTTTTTTTGTTGATGTTAATTAGTTTTTAATTTAAACAAAAGAAAATAGATTACATGAACATAGCTCATACCGAGCTAATAATATTAAAAAATAAATAACTCCGATCAAATCATTTAAAGATTGATTTAACTCCTGAAAATTAATAAAAACTTATGAATATAATTAATTTCTTTATACATGCACATACTATAATTTCAATACTTACTTAGAAACTTAATTATTCATTCACTTTATATAATCCCCAGTTCCATAAATACTTTAAATTGTTAATAAAAAATTCACTCTCCACTTCCATTTGCCGGCAACTCTCGCAGAGTCCCAGGGTAACGCTTCCAAGCGCGGAGGGGCATTACTGGAATACTATCTGAGGGAGCGAGGGAGAATTAAGTGCCGCGTGTCCCATTCTCGTCCTTTTATTGCGGAGGGTCGTTTCGACGCCACTAGAGATTTTCCCTTTATTTTATGATTTTTTTTTGGTCTCCCGCTTTTTTGATGATTAATCATCAGAAAAAAATATATGTACTGAAATTCGAAGACGAGGAGGAGCAGTTACTCTCTGCCGTCGCTGGTTATCCTCTTCGAATCTTCGAGAAACTGAAAATGGTGTAGTTAACTTCAGCTTCACGAAGTTCGCTGCTCCGTACCGCTTGTAGTTTCCGGCGACAATGGCGATCGGCGCTGTTGTTTCCAATAGGCATTTCGGACCCTTCAACGCTTCAGGTACTGCTTCTATTTTGTCTTTCATTTACGTTTGTTATATGTTTTATCGCATGTAATTGGAGGAGTTTTGAATATAGTGAGTGGAAATATTATTGGAGTTTTGTATTCGAGTGCGTACACCGATTTTATCAAATGATATTTGATGAGTAAATCTGGTTTTTGTGACGGAAGTATTGAAGTGCTGTTCTCATCTTTGCTGAGTACCGTCGTCGAACTGTTCCACCTTCGGCACTCGAATTAACTTACTGTATTTGAGTGCGTACACCGATTTTATCAAATAATATTTGATGAGTAAATCTGGTTTTTGTGACGGAAATGTTGAAGTGCTGTTCTCATCTTTGTTGATAGCGGTTTCGAACTGTTGCACCTTCGGCACTTGAAATAACTTACTTGTATTTGAGTGCATGCACCGATTTTATCGAATGATATTTGATGAGTAAATCTGTTTTTTTGTGACGGAAGTGCTGTTCTTATCTTTGCTTCGTTTCTGAGTAGCGATGTCGAACTGTTGCATCTTCGGCACTTGAATTAACTTACTGAATAGGAAACTATTTTTAGATTTTGAAACTTCAGTGGATGTATTAATGTTGAAGGACGATGGTAGTTTCAGTAGTTAGGCCTAGTAATTTCCCATGGAATTGGCACTTGAATTAACTTACTGAATAGGAAACTATTGTTAGAAAACTTGAGTGGATGTATTAATGTTGAAGGATGCTAGTAATTTTGGCCTAGTAATTTCCCATTGAATCCGCACTTGAATTAACTTACTGAATAGGAAACTATTTTTAGATTTTGAAACTTGAGTGGATGTATTAATGTTGAAGGACACTGGTAATTTTGGCCTAGTAATTTCCCAATGATTTGGCACTTGAACTAACTTACTGAATGGGAAACTATTTTTGGATTTCGAAATTTGAGTGGATGTATTAATTTTGAAGAATGCTGGTAAATTTGGGCTAGTAATTTCCCAGCTGATTGAATATGGATTTGCTGCCAAACTTAAGATAATTTTCTTCATATCAACAGCCACTTGGAGGCCTATATATTGGACCAATTCATATGGAGCCTAGACCATGAGAAGAAGGCTTAAATTTATTTGAATTCAATCATGACAGACACAAGATTCCAATCTGACCAATCTTTTCGAATCATTTCCTTTGTGGCAACATCTGCAAAATTTTGTAATGCCCTTCAGAAAGTCCCAAGAATTGTGACCTTTTTAGCATATTTTCGCTATTTGATACATTCAGGAGATATAGTAGTTTAGAATCCTTTTTATTACATTTACATACATTGACAGTACAATATTCTTTTCCAGGTAGAGTATGTCAAGGGAAAAAGCCTGTTTATCTTGGACTGCAATGTGGCTTTGCTGCTCCACAGTACATACAAAGGACCATATTATACAATAAGCTGTATCTATCGAGAATAGGCTGCTCAAGCCCTCGTCTTCATTCTATTGGCTTTCTGAATGGTAAACCATTCAGGTCAAATCCATCACTTAGGGTTGAAGCCAATGAAGGTAACAAATTCAGTAAGGAGTGTCACAGCATCAATTCTAGACGACAATTTAGAAGATGCAAAAATCATCTTTCCTTTGGCAGACGGATACAGCCAAGAATGTTGGATAATCCTAGTATTATTGATGGTCAAAGCCGGAAAATAAAGCATGCAACTGTAAATAGGACCAAGGTTGACTATAGATCTGAGGACTATGAGATAACAGGGGAGTTAGACTCTCTTGTCTTACCAGAAGGTGAGGCTGCTTTGGTGGAAGGAACTGAGCAAGACAAACCTTGGTGGCAGGAGTTCCCAAGACGATGGGTGATAGTACTGCTCTGCTTTGCTTCCTTTTTGCTATGCAACATGGACCGTGTGAGTGCTTCTCTTTGTGTTTCTGATATGGCTTTTATTTCCTGTTGAATGTCATTCTACCCAAATGACTTGAGGAATCTCCTTAAACTTTGAGATTACCTTTACAGTTTTTCCCCCTTGAAGTTTAAAATATTTCTTACATTGGTCCCATGTTAGATGGAAAATTATGAAGTGACCATTTATTATGGTGCTAACTCATCTGAATTTATTATAGGTGAACATGAGC